ATATCACAATCAAAAACAAATAAACTGTTATTACCTTATATAAAGTTCCAAATTTGATAGATTAGTGCACTTTCCTAAACCAGAACCTAAGGCTGATGTACCTTCATCACCAATTTGATTATCCCTTTTTAAATAATGAAGAAAAAATAAATTGTTAATTAGTTAGTTATAAGTAAAAAATGAAGAAATATAATGAAATAATAATAAATTAATTAATTAATAAAGGTGAAAGTTAAAAAATGAGTTAAATTAGTAGATAGATAAATAAAGAAATAAATAAATAAAAAAACACAAGCATAATAAAAAAGAAAAATAAATAAAATAAAAGAGTTATTTATAAATATTATTTTAAAATTAAAAATCATCACAATTCAAGACAAATAAACTGTTTTTACGTGATAAAAAGTGTCAAACCTGAGAGATTAGTGCACTTACCTAAACTAGATCCTAAGACTGACGCACCAATTGCACCAATTTAATTTTTCCTTTTTAAATATTCAAGAAAAAATATTTAGTTAATTAGTTAGTTAGAAGGAAAAAATGAACAATAAATATGAAATAATAAGAATTTAATTAATAATAAAAGTAAAAGTTGAAAGTTAAAAATGAACTAAATAAGCAAAAAAATATACAAATAAAGAAAAAAGTGTTAGATGAATAAATAATAAAAAGAAAAATAAATCAAATAAAAAGCTAATAAAAAAATTAAAAGAGTTAATTTATTGTATTGTTTTAAATTCATTTTTATATTCAAAAATATCACAATTCAAGACAAATAAACATTTTTACGAGAGGTCAAGCACCAAATTTTAGATTTTAGTGCATTTGCTTATACCAAAACATAAGCCTTATACTCCTTCATCACCAATTTAATTTTCCCTTTTTAAATATTGAAGAAAAAAAATATATATTTAGTTGATTTGTTGACTAATAGGTAAAAATTTAGAAAAAATATGAAATAAAAAGAAATCAATGAATTAATAAAATAAAAAGTTGAAAATGAAAAAATGAGTTAAATTAGCTAAAAAATAAAGAATCAAATAAAAAAAACACAATCATAATTAAAAAAAAAGAAAAATAAGTCTAATAAAAAGCTAATAAATAAATAAAAATGTTTATATTTCTTTAAATTGATTTTTATATTCAAACATATCACAATCCAAAAAAAATAAACTGTTTTTACATGAAAGAAAGTGACTAATTTAAGAGATTAATGCACTTTCCTAAACCAGAACCTAAGCTTTATGCGCCTTTATTGCCAATTTAATTTTTACTTTTTAAATATTGAAGAAAACATATATAGTTAATTAGAAGTTAGAAGAAAAAAATTAAGAAAAAATATGAAGTAATAAGAAATTAATTAATAAATAATTAAAGCAAAAGTTGAAAATGAAAAAATGAGTAAAATCAGCAAAAAAAATAAGAATTAAATAAAAAAAACACGTGCATAATTAAAAAAAATAAAGATAAGTCAAATAAACAGCTAATAAATAAATTAAAAGATTTATATTGTTTTAAACTCATTTTTATATTAAAAATATAACAACCCAAAAAAAATAAACTGTTTTTACGTAAGATTAAGTGCCAAATTTGACAGATTAGTGCACTTTCCTAAATAAGAACCTAAGTTTGATGCATCATCATCACCAATTTTATTTTGCCTTTTTAAATTTAAAAGAAAAATATATGATTTAGTTAATTAGTAGGAAAAAATGAAGAAAAAATATCAAATATAAAAACATAAATAGTTAATAATCAAAATAAAAATAAAATTGTATGAAAATAAGTTAAAATAATTAAAAAATATATTTATGAATAAAGTAAATAAATATGGATGATAATTTTTAAATAATAATGTAAATCACATGTAAATTAAATATAAAAAAATATTAATAATAATATTAGTAAATTAAATATACTTTAGAACAATAGATATAACCTAATGTAATTCAAGTGAAGAGTTTAAAAACTTATTTTATTAAAAAAAATAAATTTAAATAATATTAATAAAAAAATAAATATTTACTTATTCTAGATTGTTAAAAAATTATCTCTATTATATCATTTTTTTTTCTTCAAAATATTGTTGAGCAATCAATTTATAGAAATTTAATTAATTATAAGTATATTAATGAATCAATTTATTATTATATCAAATTAATTTTAGTCAAATGAACAAATAAATTTTAATAATTATCAGATACAAATATGTAAATTTGCTTATAGGAAGAGAAGTCACAGAAAAGTTCGTTCAAGTAACTAACATTCATTATTAAATCTTAATTTTTCTATTAAAAATTCTTATTATAAAATTAACAAGAATCAAATTTGGTTATGTATGTATGCATTCAGTGATATATAGGTTGATAAAATTCTATTTAATTAATGTACTTAAATTTTGATAAAATTCTATTTAATTAAATTAAAAATTTGATTAAAAAATTATAAAGATTAAATTAAAATAAAAATTCTATATTATTTTTATATAAATTAATTTAAAATACATCTGCCATTCAAAAAAATAGCGATCTCAAATCACTAAATTTTTGAATGTCATTTGGCTATATTTAGATTTTATTAAGTTTTAGGAATAAGCTTAAGGTTTTAAAAGAAAAAGGATATCAAAATCTATAGACAAAGATTATATAAACAGACAATAATTATGTAAAAGTATATAATGATTTATGGATATTTATATATTATGATGATAGTGATTATTTAACATTATACTTACATTTAAATACTTATTGAAATTATATTTATTTTTTTATTATTTACTCAATTATTATTTTTATTTCTTATTTTTCTTTTATAATTTTCTTAATATTTTTATTATTACTGCTTGTTTATCTTTCTAAAATAATTTAAAGTTTATTTGTTAAAATGATATCTACTTTATATGTAAAAGGGTTTTAATACTATTTTACTTCCTAATCAAGTTGATTGTAACCAATTATTATTATTATTACTTAATTGATGTTCAATCCCTTAACTTTGAGATATTACTTTTCAAGTTATATTTATTATTTAATTATTAGCTATATGAATGTTGCTTTTTTAAACTATCTATTAGAAATATGTTATTAAATTAGCTCGAAACATTATTTATAATTAACAATTTGTCAAAAAAGATTCATTTCTTATGATATATTTACTCAATGAGCTTATTTATTTTGAATTATTTCCTTTGAATATGTTTGTTATGTGATACTAAGATTTTTTCTTCAATTTTAGAGTCAATTCATTGAATTTTTTACAAAGCTATAATTTTTCTACATAATATTTAGGTAATAAATAAAAGTGCTCAATTTATTTTAATAATTGGTTAGCTGCTTGGAGCTGATACAGAATAATAATCTCCTTCTATAGGTTAATCATTTACTTTGAGTTTAAGCGAGTTTTATATAGTTGATTAAGTTTTTATTTGCAAGTTATTTTATAAATTGCTATTATACTATTAACTCATTGAAAAACTGTTTGTGTTATAGTTATTTTAAATACCACTACTACCATTCCCGTTATTATTAAAGTTATTATTTAAGCTACTGCTGTTATTATAAGCATTCATATTCACATTATTATGTTGAGTATTTAATTAATTTGTTGGAATCTTTATAAATGAGAAGTTATTCTCTCTATTATCCTAGTGTGCATTTGGAGAAGGAGGCATAGACACCATTTCGCTATTTGGATAGTCTGAAATTTCTAAAATCTATTTCATTTTCAATTCAATAAATTGTAAGTTGTCTTATATTTATTCGTCTCCTTTTTCTCCATCCTCTACATTTTTTAAAATAATAATTTTAATATTTATTTATTTTTTTGTTTGAATTAAGCTATAAAATAAATATTTCTAAAAACAATTTCAAAGTTTTTGTAAGCTTCGATTCTAATGAAAATTTTCTTTGTTGTATTTTTAGCAAGCAAATTTACCTAGAACAGAATTGGCGATTATGATAGCCGCTTGAGGATTAGGCTGAATGAAGTTAAAAATTTAAGAATTGCTAAAAGATTTATCATCAACAAAGGACTAATTATCATCTACTGAGAGCATTTTTATATATGACACTTTACTGCCAGTGGTAGCTCCTCTAGCAAGTGGTTCGTTGGTTAATTTTTTAGGTAAATTTGTAGGAGTTTTAAGACTTTTCTATATTTTTATTTTAAGTAAGTAAGTTTATTAAAAGCATTTAAAACATCTTATTTATTTAAAAGTGTTTTAATAAATAAAAGTAAAATACATTAGCTAGTAATTAATATTTTTCCATTGGAGAGTGAGGATCTAATCTTTTACTGATTTCGTCGGGATTTAGGTCTCTTATTGATGTGCTAGATGGTGAAGGAAGGAATTTAGAGTTCATATACTAATTAATAATTAAATAAATAGAATAAAATGAAGTTTATTAGAATAAATTTAATAAGGAATTACTTTGCCTTTATTTGTAGCTCCATCACTCTTTTGCGACTTAAATGACTTCAGTTCATGCTGTTTTTAAAATTTCAAATTTTAATTTTAATTTGAATGAATAAATCGATTAATAATTAAAAAAATTACATATTATGTATTGTTAGTAGAATTTCCACTAATTTCATAGAGCTTTGAATTAGCTCTACCGCCTTTTCTCGACAATTGAGATGTTTGCGAATATATTGTTTTGTCTTTCATTGAAACTTGAAGTTAAAGACTCCTCTCTTCTTGTTCAGCATCTATTTTTTATTATATTGCTATAAATAAATGTATGAAATTAAGTTAATTACCTTTTAAAAATTTGTGCTTTAAAAGTTCTGCTGCCGAAAGTCTATTTTAAATTAAGCTTAATATCCTTTTTTATTTAAAAATTTATTTATTTACCTCTTTGCGGGATCAATTTATAGGATGCTATTCAAGAAATCTTAAAAATCCTTCTTAATTTTGATTGGAATCTAAAATTTTTCTTAAAAAAAATATTTAAATTGATTGTATTGATTTGATTTGAGTAAATTTCTTACTATTTTCTTTTAAAGCTTTAATAACTTAATCTCTAGTCATTAGATCGCCTGTTTTCAATACCCATGGATTACCAGCCATCATCTAAATTGAAATGAACATATTTAATCGTTCTATTTTTTAATTAATTAATTAAATAATTTACTTCTAATATTACTATTCCAGCACTCCATATATCAGATTTTGTGGTCAGCTCATTATATAACAAAGTTTCTGGGGCACTGCTTGTAGACTTCAAGTAGTCCATAACTTGAATAGATTTTTTAAAGATATTCAAGTCAGTTATTTTAATGATAGCATCGTTATCAATCAATATATTTGAAGCCTTAAGATTGCTTTTTTATGTTAAAAAATTTATGATAAAAATGAATTGATTAATTAGATTAAAAATTTGCTATTTTTTATGGTTGATATTAATTTTAAGCAATTATTCAATTTTGAGAAAAGATAAGCTGAAATTATTAATTGATAAGCTTTTTTTTTACCAGAATCAATTAAAACACAAATTAACATTGATATTACAAAATTTTTTGATTCATTAAGCGACTTTTATTTGAAATTAACATAAAAATTTTTAATTTGCAAGCTAAAAAGTTTTGTTTAAGTGATTGGATGTATTTTCTATATTAAAAAAATTAAATGTGCAAGCTAACAAATAAATAAATAAAAAAATAATAAGTTTAAAACTATAAAATATTACCCATGGACTAGACCATAGCTATGAAGAAAATCAATGCCCTTAAAAATTTGTCTAGCAAAAATTGTAATCAGTTTCTCTTAAAAGGTATTAAAGCTTTATATTATTTTTTAAATAGATTCCCCACTAATGTGCTCATAGACGACATCAAGACCATTTTCTTGCTGATAAATGCAATAGCATCTGCAGAGATTTGAGCACTTCTAAGAAGCGTCAATCCATTTTTACTCTGTAATTTAATCGCGTATAAACCCATCATACTAATCCTTTTTGTACTTTAAGAGTAAATAAAATTTAAATACTTTTATTATCAAAATTTAACTAAATTATTTACAGTTTTTACTGCATATAAATGTCCTGTGTGTTAATGAAGAGCGCTACACGTGCTTCCATTTGGATCTAGAAGGTCCCCTTTTCTGATGTAAGCAGGATCGTTTAGTTATATTGCTGCACTGTAATTCGATGATAAATCATTATAAGTATATTTACCTCCTTTAATTTAAAAAATTATTAGTTTCTACAAAATCTCTTTACTAAAATTTTTATCAATATTTTAAGCCAATAAAAATGTATTTTTTTCAATAAAAAATCAAAGAAAGTATTTCAAAGATTCTTTTTCTTTTATTATAAACCAAAATCGTTTTATATATTTTGTTATCATGCATTTTATTAAATTAGTACTAAGTATTCTTTGTTAATATTACAATTATTTGTAGTTAGTTTATTATTTGTTTATCCTTTTAAAGTGGTTTGTTTCTTTTATGAGAGTCAATAATATCTTTAAATTATTTAAATGCTATTTACCAGTAGTATATTTTGATCCCATATCATAATCTCCCTGACTTAATGTTGTATCGCTCTTGGTATAACCATATTAAGGTCCTAGTTTTTCAATTTCCTTCAAACTCTCTTGCATTGTGTAAAATTATTTTGTAGAAGTCTTCTGCTCGTACGCTTACTGTTAAAATTAAAAGAAAAAAGGATTTAAAAGCTAGAATATTGAGCTATCAAACAAAGATGATTTTCATATAAATTAAATCGAATTCTTTTTTTAGCAGCATTTCCATTAGTTAACCTTCATATTTACGAAATATTTTTAACATTGTAACACATCTTTATTTTGTTTGCAAAATATCTTTACTGAATATTAAGATCATTTATTTATTTATTTTTTAGATCATTTATTTGAAGTAGCTGCAAAAGAAAATGCGAGACAACTTATTATGCAAAAAAAAGTAGCTTTTTTGAATGATTTACTTCATCTATATGAGGACCCACACTTATATTAAATTACTAAATTAATTTTGTTGTTTTTTTCTCAGTGATCAAAGTGACGTTGTCAGAAATCTCGTCTTGATTATCGAATTTCATTGTAGATTCTCTAATCATCATTTAATTATGGTCAGACAAGTTGATTTCTAAAATATTTTACAAGAGAAAGCATTTATATTTAGAATGAATTAAACAAATTTGAGAATTTAAAAATGATCTCTTATTTGGCTTTTTCGCTAAATCTTTTAAAATGGATTAATTGATCGATTTTATACCATTTATATAAACCTGCTAGATATTTGTTTGGGTGCAGCATGAAGACTGACTGCCCATATTGCTTGCTTGCTAATGAGATAGCTATCTATATTCGACTTGTATTCAATACTTGGTTTTAGCGCTTATAAATTTTTCCTTCTTTTCAAGAATTTTTAGAGATTCTCGAGAAGGTGCTGTCTCTCTTTTTATAAACAATACCCTTCTCTTTTTCTTTCTTTATTTATTTAATGAATGAATTGATCGCTTGCTTGCTTGTTTGTTTATTTATATACGAATCAATGAATTGCTTGATTGATTGCTTTGTTGCTCTTCACTTCTTTATTCACCTAAATTTTAACTATTTTATGAATAAAACTCTTAAAGTGAGTGAGTCAATGAGTCAATGTAAATATTATTTGCTTATATTATTTCTCTTCTTAAAGCTTAGACTATTGGAATGTACAAAACTCTATTCGCAATATTATTAACTATTATAATTATAATAATAATCAATTTCTTTTAATAAACTTGCTTACTATCCCATAAACTAATTGTTATATTGTATGTATCAAATCATCAAAAAATCATTCTCTCCTTCATTCATTCTTTCGCTACTTTAATAATACATTCAAAATAATTTATTCATTCATTCATTCATTCATTCATTTATTCATCGATTAATTCATTGATTATCTAATCGCTAGATATTTATTACTTTATAAATTGCTGTCAATTTTAATTTTAAGACTCTATTTTTTTCTCAATAATTTTTGCATAGTCTTTAAATAAATTGGCCTACTTCAAACAACCTTTATTTTTTAATTTATTTAATGCTTGTTTCTCGCATTTTATTTTCCATAAAAATTATCAAATATTATTGATTGAACTTTACTAAACTAATTTTATCTAGCTAAACATTACAGCATCATCATAAATTATCTAAAAATCCAAATTTATTGCTGAATTTCATACAGAGTGCTAAATTTATTATGAAAAATTTTTAAAACATCCTAAACGGCTTTTCAATTGAGCTATGAATTAATTTAAAAAAACTTAACAAACAAATTAATTATTTGACTTACAATTTCGAGAAAATTAAAAATTCTGTATTATCTATTTTATAAAAATGATTAAAAAGTGAAGATAATTTTTATTAAATTATCTAGAAGCATACTACGAAATTAATTTAGCTTGCATTTAAACTAAAACCTATTGAACAAACTCATTAATACATAAAACTCAATTTAACAGAAGAGATATTTGAAGAGAAATTTAATTTACAATAGTTTATATCTAAAATTAAAATATTTATAGCTGACTCTCTGCTTACTTTATTAAACCATCTTATTTTGATTGATAATAATTTATATAAAACTACAAAAATCTTTTAACCTTCTAAAATTTATTTAATTTTATGTAAGTTAAACAAAAAAAACCATACATTAGAAATCAAATAATTTAAAAAATAAATCAATATTTTTATATAAATAAATATGTATATAATATCTTTTTAGAAAATACTAGATTTAATAAAGCTAAAATTTACAATAAATGAGTGAATTTAAAGTTTTATCTATAAAATTATTTAATTTCCTAATTCATATTTAACTTTAAATTATAATAGTTGTAAAATGCCCTCAACCAATAATCAAACCTAACAATTAGCATTAAATAGGTTTGCAATCAAACCATATATTTATTTTTTTATTATTGATAAATATAAACATGTTATCATTCATTAATAATGATATAAAAATGAAAATAAATTCTATATAATAAATATTTATTACTTTGTATTTAACTTAATTTATTTTAAATTATAAAATTTATATTTACTGTTTTATTTCAAACCCTGTCTCTGTTTGTAATTTATAAATCAAAATTAAAAGTTTCATTTTAAAGCAGGTAAATAAGATGTCTTAACTGAATTTAAGGTGATCTTAATATATGAACCTTTACAGTATTTAACTAGATAAATTTGATTGATCATAATTGTTAAATGAATTTTCAGAGTGATATATACAAATTAAGCTCACTTGTTTATAAAATAAAATATAAATTTAAATACTATTTTAAATTCTAATTAAATGATCATTTATAAATTATTTTATGCTATTTTAGTCAGTCATAAGTTTCTAAATAAAGGGTGAGTAAGATTAAATGATAATAATTAAATAATTCCTTTTGGTAACTTTAATAATTTATTTATTTATTTATTTATAGATTTTGCTAAGAAAATGTAAATAAAATATTTAAAATAAACTTAAGGGTAATTATTTAAATAGTATAAATAAGTATATGTTGCGGTCAAAATAAAAAAATAGATTTAAATACTAATTTAAATTATAAATAAATAGGGATTTATTAATTCTTTTATGCCATATCAATCAATCAGTCAGTCATAAATTTATAAATTAATGAATGAATGAGGATGTGTAAATGATTGTTTTATTAATAGATTGAGAATATACTTACTTATATATTTTGCTAAGAAAGTTCTTTCAATTATTTTATAATACTATTTTTGATTTGTAAATTTGTAATATAGAATAAGGAGAGGTAATCAAAAAATAAATAAATAGAACTTGTCATTTAAAATTTAAGGAAGGGAATTAGAAAATTAATAGATAAAATTCATAGATAGCTAAATGAATAAATAGAAAGAAGTTAGTATGCCTGCCAGCATTAATGAAGAAACGGATATTTTCTTGAACTATCTAGAGAAGCGCAAGAGAAATTTGAAAAAAAAGCTTAATGAGATAGGAGAATTAAAGTAGAAAGATAATTTAAATTAAGAATAAAGTGAAAAGGTGAATTAAGAAGAGAATGTTTAACAGGAAATTGATCAGCTAGCTAAGATGAGAGATCATTACATTATTTCTCACTAAAAAGCTCAAAATTAAAACACTGAAATGATTTGTTCTAAAAGTTCAGAAAATTTATTATCTGTTTCTCTTCGCAATTAAAAGAAGGAGATTTTTGAATTTATTTCTGATACTCTTTTTTATTCAAGACTAGCTTACCAAAATCGCATTGAATCAGAGTATTTAGCAAATCTATTCAGGTAAAATTACATTGTGATAAAATATTTTTAATCAATAAATAAATATTTCATTCAATTCTATTTGAAAATTATTTGAAATTTTATTTTTGTTGAATTAATTTCCCTCTTTTAAGTGTCTGACTGTCTGTCACTTAGTTGAGTCAATTTATTCGTAAATAATCATTTCAAAATGAATTTTTAAAGGGAGCATTTTTTGGGAGAAAAAAAGATCCTAGAAGAGACAACATACGGCTAAGAAAAGTAGCTCATGGAATAGCAATTAAAAGAAATATTTGATTAAGATTCCTAATTTAGATAAGAGCTAAAAAAAATTGACCGATAGATACTGAAAGAGAGGATTTAACCTTAAATATTAGAATTGGATGAAGACTTCGAAGATGATAACAAAGATAATTCATCAAATGTAATCAGAGACGATCAAGATGAAGAAGAAAAAGAATAAGTTGGTTCTATGGATGAAGCTTTAAAATAGCATCCAACTTTTTACCAGATGCATTCCTAGAATTACGACGGAGACAGTGAAAAATCTCACACTGAAAACGAGTTAAATATTAAAGTAAAGCAAGGTTGTGAATAATAGTAAAGCTAAGAATCCATTTAGTTGATAAGCAATAACACTCAATCTTAACAAAGCAAGAATTAGTCAGGCAATAGAAATTACTATGGAAACAACTACAATGGAAAATATTTCAGAAGATATAAATAAAACAGATATAGAGAGGAGAGATTTGCTTATGTAAGAAGAAATAAAAATGCAACCAGCAATAATCCAAGTGAAGTATCAAATAAAGATCCCAAAGTCTTGAACAATAATGAATATGAGAGTGATGTTCCTTTCTAAAACTAAAAATAAAATAGTGGAGAGGAAAAATATTTTAGCCATCACCACCACATTAACACAAACGATCATGTTAGCTGTGAAGATAATAACATCAAAAGTAACCACTCCGATAACTAACTCCATAGTAAAAACCATAGCTCATAAAATGCAAACAGCAGTAACAATAACCTGAACTATAATAGCAACACAAGTTTTAATTAGCACAACGATTCGTTTTAGTAAAATAACACTAAGCACTATAATAAAAAGCCTTACAACTCTAATAACAGAAGACAAAATCCATATCGTAAAAACAATGACTACGACACCGACAGAGAAAAGGTAATCAATTAATTTCTATAACTTTTAAAGCTTTTTAATAAATCCAATAAAGTAAGTTTTAGCCATTTAATTAAAATTTCATTAACCTAGCAATTAAGCAAAAAAAGCAATTTGAATTAATAAATGAAAATATTTTAATTAAATGAATTATTTTAAAAGTAAATTTTATTTTTAAAGTCTAAAAACAAATTTATTGTGAAGATTTAAAGCGAGTTATTAAATTTAATATTTTTTATTAAATATTTTAGGAGTAAAAAGATGGGTATGGATATTATAAGAAATGATACTGTAAATATTCATTCATGATAGTTAGTATTTTGCTCATATTTGTAATTTAAATAATACTAATAAGAAGTAATTAATTAATAAATAATAAAGTGTTTTCTTTTAATAGATAAATGAAAAGGAAATCATTATTTTAACCTAAGCTTATTACTTAAGTAGAAAGTTTGTAAGTATGAAGTAATTAATTAATTAATCAATTAAGTAAGTAAGTAAGAATGAAAGATAGAAAGATAGAAAATATATAATTGAATAACAAGTTATTTATAATTAAAGAAATATTATTTATATATACATTTTATATCAAAAGAACCAAAATTGATTCCTTAAATTTAATTTATTTATTTATTTGCTCATTCACTTTTTCAGTTAGTTAAACAAACAAAAAAACAATCAATCGATCAATCAGTTGCTCACTCACTTACTAATTCAATCATTCTCTCACTAGTTTTTACTTCACTTTCTTCTCTTTCCAAAATTTTATTTCTTATTATTTCTGAAATTCTTTTAATTCTTTCCTCCTCTGCTGAATTTATTGTTTTTGTTTCTATTTTTAGTAATTTGTTTTTTCTTATTGCCATGTTAGAATTATTGTGATTTTTAGTCACCCTTTTTAGATTTTTTAAAATTATCTTATTTTTCTTCAACTTCCTCTTCTTATTCTTCTTCACCTTCTCCTTCTTCATTTTCTTCATCTTCGTTATCGAAATCATCTTCAGATAATTAATTATCATCATTATTGTCGTCTACTTCATCAATCAAATCGAAGTCAGGTAAATCATCAGGATCACCTTCATAATCCATGTTTTCAAAATCGTATTCTTCTTCATCATCTTCTTTATTGTCTTCTTCATCAGAGTCCTTGTAATTTTCAGGATCGAAAGCGTCACTGTCACTCTCATCAGCGATATCTAAATCTTTTTTGATTTTCTTTTTCTTCTTATCAGTACCATCGTCTCCACTTTCATCTCCACTCATATCTTCGTCTTCTTCATCACCTGCAGCTTCATCTTCTCCATCATCACCTTCATCGTAATTCTAATCCTTTTCAGCCAAAATTCTTTACTTAATTCTAGTTTCTCTTTCACTGACAATTTTATTTCTTAATTATTCCAAGGGAGTTTCCTTAACATCTTTGAAATTATCTTCTACATTATTTATTATCGAACTTACAAATATGTTAACAAAAATAAATTAAATTTACCTGAGAATTTAGCATCTTGTTCAATGTTTTTAGGAGCAAAATTGACACCTTTACGCTTGCTGAGAACAAGATCAACACTAGCTCTGATAGTCTTCATGAGTTCCTTAATTTGCATTTTATAAACTACAAACTAAACAGAATCTGAAAGCTTTTTTAAATACTTAATATAATTGTAGCACATTTCAGGGAAACCAATATCTCTGCTGTAAATAGCTAAATATTCAGCAGAAAGATCAAGACCAAACTTGAATATTTCATTCCATAAAACGTTAGTATTTTTATATTTATTATCAATCTTCAAGCTAATGCTAAAATCAAAAGGTTTTTTAGTAGATTGGGTTTTCTTTTTTCTGAATTCACCAGAGTTGAGAACATCCTTGATCAATTTCAAAGTAGGAATAAAAGTGTCAGTCTTCTAAGCGATAGAATTTAAGCATCTTCATAATAAATAAATAAATAAATTAAATTAATTTTATTTAAAATATTTTTATTTACTGAATCAAGTGGAACTTCAATGGGACGTATTCTTGAGAGTTACTGAATTAGTTTACACCAATAATAAGTTCAACTAAAGGATAGAGCAATTATCCTAAATCTTCATCAGCAGGTTATCTGCTAATAGTCTAACTCCAGAGCTTTAGTGAGTTAATTACTTACCAATTAAACACTTTCATTTCATCTCCCTTTAATTTCAAATTTAAAAATTTAGAATATATTCTTTATAAAGCAGCAACATTTGATTTGATAAGATAATCATTTTAATAAAAATAAGAATTTAACTTTTTATTAACATTTACTTTAACTCTTTAAAAATACCAAATATTTTTTATTGAATTAAAAAAAACTATGGATTGTATATAATTAATGCTTATTTGAAAGAATCCCTATTGTATTTTGGTTTTATTATTTAATTTATATTCTCAGCAATCAAAGCTATTCGCAACTATTAAAGTATTTAATAAAATGTTACTGTATTTAATTTTATTCTAAATAAAACAACCAATTATTTTAGTTAAATAACAACTAAATTCTTAATATCTATCTGTTATTTATTTTTAAACTAAAATTTTAAATATCTATCTGCTGTTTAGTTAGTTATTGGGAATTACCCAATTATCGTATTTAAAATCATATCAAATAATTATGCTGCTGAAGTATTGTAAAAACTCACCTTTTTTGCCATGTTATCTTTGAGAAGGACTGCAATTTATCTTAAATATGAGAAACCAATGTAGTAAGCAGCGTCTTTATGTTCCATCATCAATTCAGTCTATTAAAAAAAATAGTATTTTATAGAATGTAATACATTTATTTATATATTTTTTATAATTACATAACAGTTGATCATAAAGATAACAGATTCATAAGTTCTCCAAGATACGTGTCTAACATTTTCAAAATAAGCAGCATAGACTCTCTTTATATTAAATAGATAGAAATTATAATTTTATTTGATTTATTGCAAAAATGTTTTTTGTTACTCTGAAAATCTTATCGACTTCTTCACTCTTGGTATTTTTACATATTCTTCTTATGACGATGAAAGCCTTCAACTTCAACTTTAAGTTGTTGTTGGTTGCCCACAATTCAACCATGTACTTTAAAAATCTCATAAAAAGTTTCTATTATTGAGAAAAAACATTAATTGTCTGTTGAAATTATAATTAATTATTTATTGCTTTACCTTTAAAGGGAACATGAAGTCTGTAATAATTGGGTAAAATGTGAGCATGTAAATTAACATGTCTTCGTCATGAACATTTTCAGCCATTTTGACTATGTTAAGAAGGTAGACTTTAAGCACAATATCTAACTTTCTAGAAGAAACTGATTCTAAAATTTAACCATCTTCGAGTTTTAATAACTTCTTAAGAAGATAGGGGAATCTCTGTAATGCAAAAGTAACAACCTTGTCATAAACGGCTCCATCTTCAATGATAAAGTCCTATTCATTTTTATTCTCTTCGAGTTCATCTACATTTTCATCTTCATTCTGAGAGACGCAAATACGGAAAATTTTGATAAAGTGAGCTATTGATTTTTAAGTAGGCTCCTTTTCTACTTTCTGAATAATGTCTTCTACACGCTTTAACGAAATGACCTTGCTAGCTACCATTTTATTTTGAAAAATATGTTGTTGGATTGCCCTATTAATTTTCAGTTTAATTTTGTATCAAATTAAATTTATCGAAAATATATGTTAATTTATTAATCTATTTATATATATTTGCTTGCTTATATTGATTTACTTTTGTTTGATACATATTCAATTAATAGCATTCACAAGAAAGACTATACCAAATTTTCTATTTATCTATCAAGACAAATCCTTCATTCATTTCCATACTAATTTATTTTTTTCTTTTTGAGCAAATCTACTTTTTATTTATAATTAATTGTTTTCTTTATCTCTAGCAAATCATTCATTCATTAGCTTGATTCATAATATCTTTAATATCTCAAAATTCTACTTTTCTTTTACATTAAAATCTAATCCCTCATTTCGTTTTTTTAAAATGTTTTTATTCGAATGTTATTTTATTTTCTAAGTTTATCAACAAATTTTAATTAAATGAAAACCATTAATTAAAATAATATATTTATTTTATTCAAATAATAATATAAATTATCACTTAAAATTTTTAATTTAGTAATTTGCTGATTGAATATATAAATTTCAAGCATAAATATTAAAAGAATTATTCAAATTTATTTGTTTAATTTTGTTCATTTTTTAAAAAAAATAAAAACCTTTTTATTTTTAAAGTAAAAAAATTAATTTATTTGATTTCATTTTTATCTTTAAAAAAAATATTTTCCTTAACAAAAAAATAAAAAGTAAAATAATTTAAATTTTAAAAATAAAATCAATGAAGAAAAGCACTTATTTAATTGTCATAAATGAAAAAAAGCATTTATTTATTTGTTATAAATAAATAAACAAATAAAAAATTTGTAATGAATGATTGATGTTTGCAAAATAATTTGGAGGGAACACAATTTTTTAATTGATTATTATTATAATAAAAAAGATTCTTGATATTTTTTAACAAATTTTAAATTTTCAATTAGATTTTTTGAAAATTAATTAATTGACCTGACACATCAAAAATAAAGAGAAAATATATTGAATTTTTGCTTGATTGCTTTGTTTATTTGTTTGATTATATTTGATTGGTATTATTTTATAAGAATTTGATTGTTCATAAAATAAAAGTAGAAAGATCTTCTATTGAATTAGCAACCGATTGCATTATTTATTTTATTTAGAATGTTACACGAAATACTATTTGGACTGTTAGGGAAATCAGGCAATATTATTATAGAATAAAATGATAGCTTTGTTTTAGATCCAAAGATAACATTTCTGACTCCTGCTGAAAAGGAGATAATTAATAGTCTTTGCTGCTTGGGATATTATTATAAAAATTTAGAATAGTTTTTGGATGAAAATTACAACAATTTTGCTAAGATAACTTATTTTATGAATAAAAATAATAATTTTAATGAGAATTGTGATGACCAAAACGATGGTCCAATCGCTGAAGTCAATGTAATTGGAAATAGCGCATATTTGAAGGTAATTTAATTCTACTAAAGTATTATCTAAACTATTATTTTCAATAGGGATTTTGTCTTGGATTAGAATAAATAATCAACAGTTATAGAGAAAAAATCATTGAAATAGAGAGGGATTTTTTGGAAAATAGAGTGTTTACAATAGCTTCTTTAAAGATTAAGTTGACATCTCATTTCGATATTTTGCCAGATTTACATAAAATAGTATTAAACTTAAACATTTCATAAGCAATTATTAAGGATTATTTGTTCAATTTATAAAAAAAGGTAATTAAAATTGTAGAAGAAAATTTAAAGGGAGGCCAACTTTTAGATTTAATGCATAGTAAAAGCTAAACTGGTAATACAGCCTTAAGGGAAGTATATTAGATTTTGACTGACTAGTGCTATTCTGTTTTATATTAGCAAGTAAGAATTATAAATGCAATAACAATACAATTTCATAATATTTTCAAATAAATTTATTTGTGAAAATTGTTCAAAATTTAATAAATAAATAGCTAAGTGGATGGATTCTCTATGGAAATCTTTAAGATTATTATGATGAGTTTTTTATCTACAGGATTGAATAAACGAAATCTTAACAGAGTAATAAATAAAAAAACAGATTGTATTTGATTTATATTGAAATATATTTTAATTATAATTTGTAGGCAATGCTTATGATAAAAATGTGGTAGAACAACCAAATGAACTAGAAATAGATTGGGATAGCATTTTTTCTTTAAGGTATGCGATGTTGCCTTAGAGTATTGTTTCACACAAGCAAGCAGAAAAGATATTATTCATAGGAAAAGGTATTAGAATATTAAGAAACACATAAAAGGAATATGAAAACTCATTTCTACCTCCACAATAAATGCTGACTTTGATTGAAGAAATTCGTCAATATGACAGCTTTAAGTAATCAAATGATATTTGATTTGATTTAGTTTAATTTTTTTTAAATGCTAGATTTTAAAACACAATTGAGTCTTTGAGATACGAAATAGCAAAATAAATGTTGGAACTTGTTCTTAAAAATCAAAATTTAATGAATCACTTAAACACTCTAAACAATGTAAATTATTATTGCTTTCATTAATCATCCTTCATTTTATCATTTTAAATTAAATTAAGTATTTTCTTATGGGAAACGGAGAGTTCTTCAAAGCTTTTTACGAAGAAAGTAGAAGCTTAATGCAGCTACCTCCAAAGCCAGAGAGTGAAGGTCACTTAAATAATGTGATAGTTCCTCATACTTTAATTAGACTGAGGAATGACGATGAAATTGTTAATGCCTTTAAAAGTAAATTTTAAAAATCTATCAAACATTCTTAACTTGTTTTCAATAATAATTATTAAAATAATCAAATAGATTTTTAGTTCAAGATAAAAAATAATGGATTCGAATTCAAAGATTTTTCTTAGGTTAATGAATTGAATATATTTGGAAATGTTCACTAACAAAGAAACAATTACATCAGATTCTAGCCTCTAAAGAATTCTAAATTGAGTGGTAAATCAAACAAATCAATTTCTTTTAAATTTTTTATAGCTTTTTAAAAATAAAAACATATTGAAACAATAAGAAAAAATTATTTAATTTTGTCTTTTATTATTCAAAATAAATAAATAATGATTAATTTAAATTTTCTTGCTTTTATTAATTTAAATAGGATCTTTGTGGTATAAGTTTAAATAAAATATTGAAATGGGATTTAAACTTAGCTTTACTTTTAGATTTAAAAAAGAGAGAAATTATTTGCCAATAAATTAGTAAATCAATAAAAAAATTTGAAATTTATTCATTAATTTATTAACTTTTAATGTAATTAATTGTAGGTTTTCAAAATTAGGATCACCAAATATAAATTTATTGCAATCTAGCACAAAAGGTAGTGTTAACTTGCTTCAAAGTGAAGAATAATCACCTTTGAAGTCTAGATTCTCTTATTTCACTAGCAGCATAGCTTAAGATGAAACAAATGAGAATGGTTTATTAATTGTTTTCTAAAATACAAAAGAAATCAGCTCTTATAAAAAAGCAGCTCCTTACAGATTATAAGACATGAATGAGTAAATTAATTATTTATAAATTATTAAATATTAAGATTTTTTTTAAATTAGATATGTTGCTATCAAATTTTATACAAAGGAGACCAATAAAAAAGGTGCTGCTTCAGTTGCAAAAGAAATTAATGACCAAAAATGCTCTATTTAAATGGTTGTTTGCAATAATGGAAAACCAACTTATATTAAGAATCATGAATTTGATTGTGATAGAGTAAATTTCTTAGATGGTTAATTGTAAGTCATCAAAATAAACTATGATGGAGAGAATATTGCATTACATTTAGAGGATATTGATAACATGAACAGAGGACTTTAAAGTCAGTTATTTACTTTCCCTTTCAAATTCAATAAATTCCTAAATTTAGACATGGGAAGAGCTTATGTAGGATTTATTTAAGTAATATAAATATATTGATGTTATTGGAATTTAAATTAATATCAACAATTTCATTAAATTAAAAGGATTCAAATAATGGTAATTGTGCCATGGATATTATGAGCTGGTAAATGTATAGTTCAAATGTTTTTAATAACCAAGATGCATGGAATGGACTTACTATGGACTACCAAGTCAAATGGCCTCTCAATTTAATGATATCATCTCATTTGATAGAAAAATATAAAACTATATTCAGATATTTATTTCCTTTAAGGTAAATAATTAACAATTTTCTTATTAAAATTAATTTAATTAATATTTCAAAATATTTTAGTCAAATCATACACTCATTCATACATTCATTATAAGCAAACATATCAACCTTAAAAAAATTTTTTTTTGATTTATTTTAAAGCACGAATTTTTTTGCGATAAAATATTTATAATTTAGAAATATTTAATAATTAAATGTAAAATAATTTTACATTATGAGATATTTTGGGATATATAAATTGAATTATAATTATTACACTAAATTCTTTTAATGGAAAATTTATTTTAAGAACTATTTAGTTTGAACTGTAAAGATCGTGGCTTTATTTCATGAAAAACAGTAAAAGAGGCAAGTTAAATCCAACATTAAATTCAATGCTGTTAATGAGAACAAAGCTAAGTTCAGTAATAGATAGTTTATGGACATACTTTCATACAGACATTATAACTTCATAGTGGTCAAAAGTAAAAATAGATTAATTAATCATTTAAAATATATAAAATTTTTTATATTATTTTCAAATAGCTGTAAGAAAAAGTTGCAGAGATTAAAGACTTTGAAGAACTTAGAAAGATAATTGATCTTTTTTTGAGCTCAATATAAATTTAAATTTTCTTAAGCTATCCTAAATTAGTAAAGAGTATCTTTGATATTGTCGATTGCTGTAGGAGATATTGTAACATCGTAGTAAAGTAAAAATTTTGATTAAAAAATATATTCTTTTATTTTTTATCTCATTTAAATTAATTAATACAGATTAGAATATGATACAAGTATTGATTTATTGTAAGCAGACTTTGAGGTTCTAAAAGAAGATTTCGAAAAGAATTTCATGAATCTTCTTAATTTACTTATACTTATGACAAAAAATACCAATGCAACATTCTTATTTTAGTTGCTACTTAGATTAGATTTTAATGGCTATTATAGAGAAAAGATGGAAGATAAATATAAATACTGAAATGTAAAAATACTAATTAAAATGGATTTAATAGTTTCAGCATTATAAATAAAATGGAACTAACTTAGAATTTTGAAATATAAAAACAAATAAATTAAACAAAATTGTAAAATAATAATCAATAATTGAAAGTCATTTCTGAAATATTTCATTAAAAGAAAGTCTTTCTATATTTTAATGCGTGTTATCTTTGCTTGTTTGTATAGAAGTGTTTGAGAGAAGATCAGTGCAAAGGATATGCATAAAATTTTGTTGTATAAATTGTATGAGTGTTTTGAAAGAGAAGAATTTAATAGTTGATTTGAGGTAATAAAAATAACAAGGTATTGATTGATTTCTTATTCAAAATTTATATTACTGTTTACAACAAAGATAGATGTAAAGAAGGTTTTCCAGATAATTAATTTTGTGAATGTGTAATTAATTTAAGTATTTTTATTATATAAGATTTTAATCAGTAACTAAATCAAGAGATTTTATTAGATTATAATAATATAAATATTTTTAAAACTTTCCAAATGTTATAAATTCATCATGTAAAACAAACTTGAATTCAAATTAAATATGAATTACAGTTAAATCATAATTAAAATGGCATAGTTCTTTTGAACTAATTAGTGAATGCAATTCGCATTATTTAAGGTATTGAATAAACATAGAGAATAAGATAAGATTAATAGATATTTATTTATATATTTGATTAGTATTATTTATTTATTTATTTTTTTTAAGTTTTGAATGAATGAAAATTTAAATGGAAATTTTCAAAATTTTAAATGATTTTTTTTCTAGAGTTTCAAATGAATTTAATTTGATATTTTTTGATCAGCTTTTTTCTTGTTAATTTTAGGGATTTTGATCGTCGTTTTAGTTAGAGCTTTCCTCTTCGTTGAAGAGATCGCCATATTTTTCTTCCCACTCCATCAATTTTTCTTCGTATTCTTCTAACTTTTGATAATATCTGTCGAATACGCAGACTTAACATCCACTCCCACAGCAATCATCCTAATCAGGTTCTTCTGGTCTTTAGGGTTTGGGGGGAATGACTTTAGCTTTATTTTGGTTAAGAATTGCTTCATTTTCACTAATTTTTTTGAGCTATTGTATGCGTAGCTTTTCATTGAGAGCTTTAAGAGATTAAATATGCTTTTCAATAGAGAAAATAAGAGAGTCTTATATTAATAAGTCGTTTTCTTCTACAAATTAAAAATATCTTTCCCTTGAGTGAAATTAAGAAATATCTATAAATATTTTAACGATCGATCTCCACTTAAGTAATTTTTCCATAAAAAGTGTTCGATTATTTTGTTTAGGTTAGGATACACCTTTAATTTTATTGATTTATTAAGTTGTAGGTTAATTGCCTTAAGTGAGCGGTATAATTGTATGTGTTTTTGATCAATTTAATTATTATATTTGTTGGCTAAATTAATTTTGTCTATAAAATTTTGACTAAAATAGAGAGGAGTTGAAATAAATGTATACTCACTCATATATATGCTTTTATTCTGTTAAAATAAATTTAAATTTTATTCTTTTATTATCAATCCTATCTCAGAGGATCTTTAATTTAGTCATATTACTCTAGCGTAAGCTGCTTATTAAAGTTTTAATTCTTATTATGATTGACATATTAAATATTATTTGCATTCTTCCAGAAAAGTGCTTCATTACAAATTGTGAAAATATAAATTCTTTTATTAAATAACTTTGCTAACAAACATTCCAAGCTAGAGGGAATTTTTTTTTTTTTTTTTTGATTTATTTCTAAATTGACTTAACTAAAATCTTTACGAAAGAATGATGAATTTTTTATCTCCCTTTACATTAGATAACTTGTTAATTTTGTATGCGTAATCGCTTCAATTATTCATATTTTTATGATGAACTAGTATATATATATATAATAATATAAATCAAATTGAGTAATCATATTTAGCAGAGTTCATAATTTTGATTCATTTAAATGTAAACATTATTTAAAAAACTAATAAATTTCTATTGCAAAATAAAGAAGTTCATTTGAAAAACATTAAGATTGATTTGTGATTTATATTTTTAAAAACTTTTTAAAATTTAAACTTAAACACGCTGCACCTCTGTCTTGAAAAAAAAAAACATATGATAAGAAATTAAAATCTTTGAGAATATTTCAGAGTGGGTTAAATAATAAAAGAAAGATTAGGTTTTTCTTAAATATAGCGAATTATGCATGTAAGGGATTAAAGCTACCTAATAATAAGTGAATAGCCGTAGGATTCACAATTTAGTTGATAGAAAAAGAAAAAATAATGAAAGAAATAAATTAATAAACAAGCTGATCAATCACAAATCAAAGATTTTTTCTTTCGCATTAAAGACAGAAAGAAAGAAAGAAATCAAAATATAAACAGCGATGATTAAAAAATTATAAAAAATAATTAAAAAAATAAATACAATTTTCCATTCATTGAAAAGAGTTAAAAAGTTTAATCTTTTATTCAAAAGGTAGGAAACATAAAAAAAAAACAACAGGAAACAATCCAAACAACAAAACCGAAAGGTGATCGTCGAGCTAGTCGCTTACATTAAATAACTTAAAAGAATCTGAAAAAAATAAATAGAAATGGCTTGGACTGAAATGCAAAAAAATATGCTCATGCTTGTTTCATTGGGCTGCAGTTTGTGTTCTGGTATTATTTTCAAATCATAACAAAGATAAACAGTTGATGGCTAATCTTTTAACCATCCTTTCTGTTAAACTCTTATTATGTTCGTAGGTGAATTATTGTGCTATGGTGTATTCGTTTTTTACAAAAGAAAATATGCAGAGGATTATGAAAAAGATAGAAAAGAAAGTATTGCCCAAGGATAGTCTGATAAAATCAACATTTTTATCTTCGCAGCTCCTGCAGCATGCGATATGGTCACTTCTACTATCTCTTTCTTCTCTATGAATTTGATGCCTTTATCCATGTAATATATGTTTAATGGTGGTAATATTATCATGACTGCTATTTTCTCTGTCGTTTTCTTAAAAAGAAAGTTACATAGATAAAATATCTTTGGTATTTTCCTTAATGTTACTGGTTTAGCCTTTATGGGTCTCATGGCTTTAGTTGTTGATAGCAACAGCATTGAAAATCCTACTTAAATGATGATTGGTATTATTCTTTTAGTCTGCTCCTTTTTCACATATGCTACCTAAATGGTTGTCGAAGAAAGATTCTTTGGTAAATACTTTTTACATCCTTTCTAAGCTGTAGGTTATGAAGGTATGTTTGGTATCGTTTATGCCTCTCTTGGTATCCTTATTTTTAACTTCATTCCCAACCCTAGTTCTTTTGAAGCAACTCCAAATAATAAAATCGAAGATTTCCCTAATTTCATATACTAAGTTTTCTCATTCTAAAATGTTGCTTTGTTCTTCTTAGTCCTTGCTGGTGTCGTCATTATCATTATCCTTAATGGTGTTGGTCAAGCTGTTACAAAGTACGTATCTGCTCTTGCTAGAGCAGTCTTAGGTGTTACTTCACCTTTCTTGATTTGGATGTTCTGTCTTGCTGTTGGATGGGAAGATTTCAAGTGGTACTAACTTGTTGCTTACTTCATTATTACCACAGGTACTCTCATTTACAATGAAATCTTGGTCATTCCTATATTGGGTTTCAATAAAAACCTCAGAAGACACGCTGCTGCTGCCGCTGCTGCCGCCGCCGAAGAATAACAATTACTCAGTGGCCCTCCTCAAAAACAATCTTTGAGAGGTTCAAGACGTACTCATCGTTCTTTCAAATCTGTTGGCTAATTTAATGATGAACCTGTTTCAAATATAACTGATTAATATTCTGATGATTGAAGCTATTCAAAAATATTTTTAAAATATTATTTAGAAATAAAATTTACATCAATTTATTTCATTTATTAATCAATTCATTCTAAAATGATTATTGTTTGCTTCTTTTTAATCTGTATGACTCTCTTTTTAGCAAAATTCTATTCTATTTTACAAATATTTAATTCATTAAATTCTGATTTTCTTTTAAATTATTAAGCTGATTTTTAAATACTTTATTTAAGTAGCATCATTTCTTATTTATTTTATTTTGAAATAATCCTAATTTTACTGTTTAAAAAATATATTTTTAAAATATGAAATATAGAAAATATATCCAAACTTCCTTCCTTCCATCTATCTATCTATCTATCTATCTATAAGCTTTTCTTAAAGAATTATAAAGTTAGTTTTTATTCTATAAAAAGAGAAAAAGAATGAAAATGAAATTTGAAATTATTTTTAAATTTTTAAATTTTTAAAAATTTAATATTAAAGTGATTATTTTTGTTTATAAATTGTTTTTAATTTTTTAATCAGAAGTAAGTAAGTAAATACACCTTCATTTTTTCAATATTACAAAAAAATTTATATTTTTAATCAAAGAGAATTTTTTAAAAAAAATATATGGTTTTTGCAAGGAAGTGTAGAATTTTTAGCAACCCTCCAAACTACCACTCCTAACTAAAAGTGATCTGATTTAATAATAAAAGGAATAATTTTATCATTTTGGAGTATTGAATAGTTAACTTTGAATCTATTTATTTTTAAATTAAAAATATATTAATGCAGTAATTAATTTATGATAATTCTCTCTTCAACTCTTTCGGGGATTGAAGATCGTTTAATATGAATTATGTTTTATCAAATGAAGACTTAAAATGCATATTTTAAAATAACAGATTTAAGTTTGTATTTTTAAATACTTTTATTTTATTTGAATAAAAAATAGTGTTTTTCATTTAATAAATTAATATTTTATCGATTTTATTAAAAAATATTTTAAGCTTTGATGAAAACAAATAAATGACAAAAATGATTAATTATTTTAATTATTTTTTAGTAAATAAATAAGTTTGCTTCATTTCTTTTTAGCTTTCTTCTTTTTCTTTTTTTTAGGTTTACGCTTTTTCATAAGACCCTTCTTTCTTTCAATCAGGTCTTTTGGAATATGCTCAGACAATTCCATGTAATAAATATTTTTGTTAGCTTCTAGACAGTCTATTATAGCTTTAGCATCTAATTAAATTAACAAAATTTTAAATTATGATTTTAAAATATAAAAAAATGAATTTATTAATTATTTAATTACCTGTTTTTGAGATGTTGTTAAATCTAAAGTCATAATAAAGTAAAGTGTCTGCAGCTTTTAAAACTTCGCAAATATTTTCTATAATTTATTTGTTATGTTCAATGGCATCTTTATTTGTTTCGAAAAAATTGGGGTTAGCTTCGGGATCTTAGTCGTCACCAAGAGTGGTATCGAACTGATTGTCAGATAAATCAACTTTTTCAAGAGTTTTATTTACTTTAAATGCCCTGAAGAGCTAATGAACTCCTTCATTTTTGAGTAGATTTCCTTTCATTTTAAGCTTTTTCAAGTTTGTATTGACAAATGATAGAATTTATTAAATATATTTAGATCCTTCAGCAGTAATAGCACAATAATTTAAGCTTAATTTTTCTAAAACTGAATTCATACAGAGACCTGCAGCAAGTTGCATTAAGCCTTCCGTTCCAAATTCATTATGGTCTAATTTAAGTTTCAACAATGGTATTTCAATCTAAGGATGCAAAACTCTACCTAAAAACTCGCAACCTATTAATTAAAATAATAAAAACTGATCAGTTACCTTTTATTTCGCGTAACATATTTTCTAAATAAAAAACTCTAAGACAGACAAATCTTTTGCTAATATTTGAAACAATTAATTCTCACCTAAACTACCAACTTGATTATCCATCAAATCTAGATACTCAATTGTTTTAGATTTTTCCATATAATTACAAATAGTTCTTGTTCCTTCATCTTAAGCCTTCACCTTCCATAGTCTAATGCTTTTTGTGTGCAGATATCTATTTTAATTGTAAGTATTATTGTAATTAAAACATTCTGAGCTAAATTTATTATGATTTATTATTTATAAGCTAATTACGGTATTTCAGTTAGAGAGTCCATGATCGAACGAACTCCTACTGGACCTAATTCTTCCCACAAATGAATCTAATTTAAAATATTGAATTCAATTAGATAAGCTGAATTTTAAACTAAGTTAATTGCATCTTTTAAACGAATAAAATGTTTTTTTTATATTAAACTATCAATAAACCTTTTCAATATTTTCATCTTCCTCAACAGCAAAGTCTAACTTTTCTTTAAAGAGCTTTGAAGGATTAATTCCATTTAATTCGCATTTTTTCTATGATTTAAAAAGTGATTTAATTTAAAAATAAACGCTAATATAAAATTTCTTAAAAAATCTATTTTACTTTGTACTATCTAGATAGTTAGAGGGTTGACTCATCCTCTTCTCCTCCTCCCTTCTTCTTTCCTTTTTTATCACCCATCGCTTTTCAAGTGATAAATATTTTCTAATATTTACAATTTTTTAGATAAATATTATTTATTTATTTATAATGCTGACTGAATCTCTCTCTCTTTTTCTTAATTAATTAAAAACTGAAAATTTTTTATCTCAATTGCTTATTATTAACAAATAAATAAATAACACAAGAATTATATAAAAATATTTAAAAGCAATTGCCATTTTTCAACATATTTAAGTATTCATTTATTTAAAGAGTTTTCGTTTTTTTCTTCGCTCAATAAAAAATGATTTTTTTATGAGGATTTAAATAAAATATTTGATTTGATAAAAATTGTTTTGGCAAATTTTAAATTTACTTTTTGATCTCTGTTAAATTTCATTTGAAAACCTATTTAATTTTGATTGATTGAGGATTTAGTGCATGCTACTTAAATAAATTAAGTTTTTCTTCCTTAATATTGTGTTTATAAGCTATTAATTAAATTATCAAGTAGAATAATAAACAAGCAACAAGAAATTCATACCTTATTCAATAGCAGGAATAAGTTCCTCGATTATAGTTAATCAGTAGGGAATAATTTAATTAGATTAAGGCTTGGTAATTAATTAACTATTTGATGAGCAATTACATCTACTCTAATTATAACTTGAATGAGATTTTTATGAGAGAAAAGTAAGATATTTGCTTTGTTTCAAATCATTAAAAATCCTAACTATTTCTACTTTTTATTCAGAATATAGCAAGCCCATGAAAAGAAGATTTAAAAAATTAAAGAAAATTCTAAAGAAGCCAAAAACACCTTCGTTAATGAGAGGAACTAAAATAATTTTTAGCTCAAGAAAATAAGGAAAATAAACTTTGACTTTCATCAAAAAGGTATTTTATTACATAAAAGCTTTTATCAAACGAAATAAATTAATTATGTTTATTTTATAGAGAAGCAATAAGAGATCAATCGCTGCAACTAAAAGCTGCTATAAAAATTGTTAGATATTTCAATGCGAAATCCTTCAAAGCGAGTAAATTTAAATTAAAAATTTTAATGTCTTAAGATTTAGTTTTATAATAAAAAGTCGCCTGAGAGAGAGCAAAGCCAAGAATAAAATTAAGCAGAGCAAAATCCAAACAAAAACACTGTTATAGATTAAGACAAAGTTAACAATAAAAATGAAAAAATAATACAAAATAGTGAATCTCCAGATAATTAAAATTAATAGGCAATTCAATAACAAAAATCAATAATCAGACAGCACAAGTTTTACATGAAAACAAAACATAAAAATGAAGAAATACACTAGCAAAATATAAGAATAGCTCAAAGAATTATAGGATAGTAATTTTATAATATTCATCAAAATATATAGAAATCTAAAATCACAACAAAATTATATACAAAGAACTCCTATTGTAGCCAACAACTAGAAGCTCTATGAAGATTACAAGAGATAATAAGAATTCAAAAGCAGGATAGCTCGTTACGAGACTGATGGCTAACAAGTAAAACTAAAGTAAATTATATTTTATTTGTATTTTTAATTATCCTTGATTTTGCTTTAAAATCAGAAGGATTTAGTACCATTTTGATGTATCAAGAAAAATAGGTGAAGTAGTTTCAAAAATTAGTCTTGTAAGGAATTCAGCTTCTCCCACATTGAGATAAACATAAAATAAGTTAAATGTAAGCTTTCATATCCCTAAAAACAGTGTTAAATCTAATTGCAATTTTCTCAAATAAAATAGAATACAGAAACCAACTAGCCTGTCAATCAACGTCAAAACACTTAGCAATCTCCTCAAGCTAAACTTTAGACTGCTCCTAACTCTGAAAGAATTCACATAATAAAATCTCCTATAAGAAGTGATAAAGCAGTAAAAAGAAATTCATAAAATGATGTACTAGAATAATAAAACTCTTAATAATCTTCTAAATCAAATATAAATCTTCCTCCAGCAATAGCCCAAATTAAATTCAACAACCAAAAAACAATCATAAGATAAAAATCTCCATCCTTAAAAGTAAAATTTAAATATAAAAACTATAATTTTTTATTAATGTTTGCATAAAATAATTTCAATCATTAAAATTAATAAAAATTGAATCTTTTTTTAAGATATTTTAATAACTCAAATTTTTAATAAAATAATAATTAGAATAAAGAATAAAACGAAAAATCTATTGAAACCCAATAGTAAAATTAGCTGAACTCATAATAATAGAATTAACTATTACATTCATAGTTACACACAGATTAAACATTAAGTTAAACATAACAATAAAAAAAATTTTTAGAAACTACAAAATCTAACAAAATCAATGAAACACACTCATCGCCAAAAAGAAGTGCAAAAAAACTATCTTAAAGTGAATAAAAATTAAACTAATCCGCCTCTGAAATAAATGAAGATTAATATTATTGCTAAGAAGATTTTGATGAATTTTCTTCTTAATACAATAATAGTAAATTTGAATAAACCACATCATAAAATAAAGAAGTTTTGGAAAAGTAAAAATCAGAAAGTAAATATTATAACAGTTTATCTCAAAATGATGAAAAAGAATACTATAAAGAATTCGACTAAGAATCTTAATCTCATTTTTCGCTTTCTAAAGAATAAGAGTGATACATTTTTCATTCATTTCAATTTAAGCATAAATAAAATTCTTATTTATTATTTATGCTTAAGATTAATTAAATTAATTAATTAAAATCTATAAAAAAAACAATAAACAACAAATTTAATATAAAAAAATATGTATTTATCAAAAACATTTGCTATCTATTTTAACAAATCTTATCCTTCCTTTTGAATATTCTCTATTTATATGTTTTATAAAACATCTTAGTTTTATATTTTAAAATTAATTTTTTAAACTAAATTAAAAACATTTGCTCACATAAAATTTTAATTCATTTTTAGCTAAAAATTAAATATTTAATAAATAATTTATCATTTTAATTAATTTTCCAAAAAAATATATTAAATTCTATTTAAAAATATTTTTTTTGAATAAAATTTTTACATTTTGATAATTTTTTGATATTTTTTGAAATGCTGAATTTAAATATGAAAAGTTTTTTCACTAAAAAACAATTAAAAATGAAAATTAATTATTTAAAACATAAAAAATAGTAAAATTTATGAAAATTATAAAAAATAAGAAAATGTTTTGTTTAAATAATAAATATAGAAAATGGTTTTAAATATCTATTTTGATAAATATTTAATAATAACTAAAGGAAAGTAAAAAAATTAATATTTGTAAGTTTATGCATAGCTTTTAAAATTGATAAATATTCGATTATTTTAGATTTATGGATAAAGATTTAGTCAGAATTAATTAATTAAATCCAGCCAGATGGAGCAAGCAAGGTCTTAAAAATTTATTCAATGCTTTAAATCGATCAATAAGACAGAGAGATGAATTGAATGAATATATAAATATATACATATATTTCCATGTATTTTGCTATGAATATAAGGGAATGTGGTATAAACAAACAAACAAAGAAACAAGCAATTAAATAAGAATAAAGGCAATTTTTTAATAAGTTTGATTAATTGTAATTAGAAGATATAAAAAATATAAATAAATATAAAATTGATAAAAATAAAGGGATTAAATATTCAATTTAGAATTAAATCATTTCTTTCTTTCCTAGATTCTATTTATTATTTTAGCTTAGAATTATTTAGAGATGCGCAGAAACATTATTGAATTTCCTTCTAAGAAGGACGCTTAGGATCTCAAAAAGAGCATTCTTGATTTTTATAAGAAAAAGCCAAGCACTTTCTGCTTTTCATACGAATGGATGCTTGGTATTGTTCAGCCAAAAACTGAATCAGATTACATTCAAAATTTATTTAGATTCTCTACTCAAGGAATCGTGCGTAGATGCGAAACCTACCTTAAAAAATCAATTATTCATGGCAATAAAGAATTTATTTTGCGCTTAGAAAGTTTTGGTGATTCTAAGAAGACTCGTATGTTTGCAGGTGTAAACCCATTAGCATATGCATTTGGAAAGATTATGTTGGATTATGTTTACTTGTTCATAGAAGAAAAAAGCGAAGAGGCCAAAGAAAAGATGAAAAACAAAATCGAAAAGTAAATCTAAAAAGAAAGATATTATTCTGCTATGCAAAACATCTTAGCTTATGAAAATATTTTCAACCAGAAACTAGATGAAAACAAGAAAACTTGTGAATAAAATATCTAAAAATAAAAGTAGAATCTTAGTAGTATATAACAAAGTATTAAGAATATGCAAATTAATACTGCCAACACTACTTAAACCACTAACTCAAAGTCTACTTCACAATCATCCGAAAAGCCAAAATAATAAGAAAAAGACTCTAAAGATAAAAAGACAACAGCAGCAGCATCATCAAAGAATGAGAATAAAAAAGAACAAAAAAATGGTAAAGTCAATCCTAAGGACGTAGAAGAAGACATTGAAGAAGAAGAAGATTTTGAAGATGTTGATGAATTATCTGAAAACGAGGATGAAGATGATGATGCCCACTACTTGTAAGAACATGTTACAAATTACGATGATATGGAAGAAGAAGAAGACTCAGATGATGACTTAGAGTTATTAGGAGATGAAGATGATGAAGAAGAGGAAGAAGATGATGATGAGGACGAAGAAGAAGAAGAGGATGAAATGGATGAAGAGGAAGAAGAAAGATTGATACAAGAATAAATATAATTAATCAAGAAACGTAATAAAGAAGAAAAACTTTAAAAGTAATAAGAATAATAAGGTAAAGAGAATCAACAAAAAGAAAACTAAAAGAAAGTCCAATAAAACTCTAAAGTCCCTGAAAAAACTAAAAATATTTCAAAATAAAAAAACAATAATCACAATAACAATAAAAATAATGGTAATAACAACCACAATAACAACAAAATGTAGTAGAGTTAATTCAATAACAAGAAAAACAATAAGAATTTTAAAAACAAATAAAACAATAACCATTCAAAAAATAAACATAATCAAAAATAAAAAAGAAAGTGAGAGATTAAGAAAACCATTTTATTTATATTTAATTATGATGATTAAAGTAATCAATTAATTGATTAGTTAGTTAGTTAATTAGTTAATGTCATATATGGAATTTTATATTATTTATATTTTTCTTAAACTTAATTTGATATAAGACATATATGTATCAATAATCATCTTTTTTTTTGTTCATTTTTTATATGTTTCTAAAGTAAAAATAAAATTCTATTTTGGTTAATTATTTTATTTTGTTCGATGTTTAAATGACAAAATAATTAAAAATAACTACAAATTCTTTCATTTATTCTAAAATTTTTTCAAAATAAATTAGCTTTAAAAATTATTTTTTTTAAATCCATAATTTAGTTTTTTTAATCTATCTATCTATATACAATTATTGGCTTATACATTAAGTATATTTTACTTTAGTATGAATAAAGAAATAAATACATAAGGTTTTACTTATAGTCAAATTTTATTCAATTTTCTTCATTTTTATTTTAAAATTTAGACTTTATTCTTCCTGCTTTTTCACAGGACTTAGGTATTATTAAAATATATTTTACCTTAATACAATTTAAGGTTGATTTAATATAATTAAATACAAATATATGAAAAATAAATGATAATATAAATAAAGTTAGATTAAGCTTTAATATTGTCTTCTACTGTATTAAGAAATATTAAAAAATAATTTATATCTAAAATAAAAAAATATTTTTTACTAACAATAAATAATCTCGGAAAAGTGATAATACTTTTAAAGAATTAATTTACTTAAGATTTAGGTTATGCTTAAGTTTTATTTCTACTTAAAGATTAAATTTAAAAAATTAGGCTAATTAATAAATTATTATTAATATCCTCAACTACAAATTAATTTAAATTTCTATCTATAAATTTTGGAAAAATCAATATGAATTTTAAGTAAATTATTATGCTTAGAATAGTATTTAAAAAGAGACTAAATTTAAAATACATACACATGCATAATTATTTTTAAAATAGTAAAAATAATATCAATTTTATCTTTATCTTTTATATCGAAAAAACAGAAAAATATTTAGTTAACAGATTATAACGCTTAAAAGATCGATTTATCATTAAATAATGAAAATGAAAAACTAAAATTTCTGTAATAAGTAGCGTTTATGAAATGGATTGACTAAAAAGTGTAAAAATGGTTTCATAAACACTATGTATAGCTGGATGACAAATTGTTTCAAATATAAATATAGAATTTAAAGTTAAAAATTTAAAAAAATGGATTTTTATTTAAATATTAGCAATACAATATCAAGGTTAAGCAGGCAGTGTCTGTTTTATTGGAAAAATGAATTTTTTGTTTTAATACTTACAAGATAAGAAAAAGACACATGAAATTTATTTAAAAAATTGCTTAGTTTTTTAAATAATTGCAATAAATTATTGATTCTATTTTTAATAATTAATTGTTTGTTTGTTGCTTTTTTATTTAAAAATTGAGTTACATAATATTTAAGTATCAATAGCAAAAGCGAGATAGATGTTAAGTTAATGCAAATTTAAATCTAAAATTTTAGTAAAATTAACAATAAAAAGTAATGGGAAAAGAGATAATGTTATATTTATTCATTTAGTAATGATTTTACTGAAAACAACATATACATTTGTTTAGAACATTTACATAAAAAACATATTGATAATTTTATTTTATTAATTAGTAAAGTTCTAGTTTGTTTTAATCTGCCACATCATAATCTAAGTTTTTTATGGATAACAGATTATCTCTTCTTTTAGGAAAATTAGTTTCCACTGCTTGCTTGAACCTTGCTTTGTGCACACTGTAAGCTCTATAAAATTTGACCCTTCAAATCTTGTTAATTGGTGTTGAAGTTATTAACACAGTTCTATGCATTTTAGACTTCATTAAGTTAATTGCTAGGACTATCAGCATGTTAGTTTAAAGGAGGGCAAGCCCAGACTAATTAGTTCATGAAGTTACCGTGGTTCTAATCTTAGGGGACAAAGTAGACATTGAGACAATCTTCAAAGTATTATAAAAGACTGTTTGGATCAGCTTGAGGCATAGGATGAGGTCCAGGTTGTCCAGGTTGTCTAGTCTTTCTAGCATTAGTTGTAACACTTACAAGAAGGATTAAGGCAAAAATGATTTAGAGTTTTCTCATTGATAATTAAAGTTATTAATAATTTTTTTTATTTTACAATTACAAAATATTATTCAAAAATTGTCAAATTTAATATGGGGTTTTGGCAAAAAATTAAAAAATTAGTTATTATTTGCAAATTGAAAATAAAACGAATAGAAAACAATATTTGTTTTGTTTTGTTGTTTTACTAAGTGCTTATAAAAACAAAGATTTAATATGTTTTTCCTACTTCAACATCCATATCATTAAGTTAAAACGGCAGCGTTTTTGTAAAACAGTAAAATTATGCGTTAAAGAATTTTAAATAATAAATAAGTTCTATTTAGTTTAAAAACTAACTATTGCAATTCGAAGAAAAATGTTAGGAAATATGAAAAAATATTTGGAAATAAGATAAAAATAGATATTTATTTAAAAAAATATTTTCAATTTTGTTTGTTTATTTGTTTAAATACAAATTTGTCTTCAAAAAAAACTAATAAAAAAATGTAAATTTTTGTTTGTTTTTTGTTATTAATCCGGTATTGTCTAAAAAATTGTTATTCCGTTTAAATTAAAAGCTATTGATGAATTCGAATTACTTTTTATTTCTAATATTAATTTAAAAAATCGTTAGTAAATTAACAATTATTATCATTCTTTGAATTAATAGAAACCATTCAATAATAAGACTCAAAAATTGGTGTGAGAAATTCATTTTTACTTAATCACATTTTTCCAAAAATTTTCAAACCTATGAGTTATATATAATAGATGATTTATAAATTAATAAATAGAAAAATAAATACTCTTCCCTTTTAATTAAAAGCAAGTATTAAGCCTATGAAAGAAAAACAACTTTACTAATATTAAATCAAATGATGTTTACGAAATATGAAATTTTGAAAGAAATTATTTTATAGAATTGATCTTTTCTAAAATATTATTATGAATAATACATATTTATTTATACAAAATACTATTATGACTGATAGTAGATGTTAAAGCAATTTTTGCGCTTCTATTTACATATATTTACTTGAAATATAACTCAAACTATTCATCTAATGATATATAAATTTTTGACTTCAATAATTGAAAAGAAAGAAAGATCAAATTCTCCTTATTTACAAATTTTGAATAAAATTTTTATATTTTTGATTATTTTAATCAATTAAACAATATTCCTAGCTTATAAGTTTTTAAGCCTAATATAAATTGATGTTAAGGAAAAATTAATATTTGCCTTATTATTAATTAATTAATTAATTGATTGATTCCTTTTTCATTTATGTCAAAATCATCAAATCAAAAAGATTTTTGATAATAAAAATTTTGCCTTAAGACAAATCATAAAAAAATTATACTAAAAATATATAATTTGAAAGAATAAATACAAAGAATATTCCATAATTCCTCATTAATTAAGGCCACTCACCCCCCAAAGTTTTTTGAAAAAAATGGCCTTTTCCAAAAATTTTCTAAAATGGCCTTAATTAAACATTGCCTTAATAAATAAGGAATTACTGTATATGGATGAATACAATATTAGAAATCATTTATCAGATTGTCAAAATCATCAAATCAAAAAGATTTTTGATAATAAAAATTTTGCCTTAAGACAAATCATAAAAAAATTGTACTAAAAATGTATAAAAAATATATAATTTGAAAGAATAAATACAGAGAATATATATGGATGGAAACAATATTTTCTATTAATTTTTTAAATTTATCTTACTTTATAACTTAAAATAAATAAACAATTAATTAAAATATTATGAGTATTTTTATAGATATGAATTATTAATTATTAAAATCTTACTAATTAAATAGATTAAAATTCTAAGAGTTTATGAATTCAAATTAAAAAAAATATTTTAATAATTGCAAAAATTAAATGTGTTATTAAATAAAGTATGGTTATTTATACTAAGAGTACAATGAACATTCTTTTTATTCTTTTTATTGTATTTACAAATGCCAAAACATAAAAATTTAGCAATAATATGGATTCCTTCTCTACTTGGAAGTCCTCTTGATTCTTAAGTAAGTTCTCTTGAATGCTTTTTGTTGATATTTATAGGGAAATTCCTGCTATTTACTTTAAACTTATATTTTCACTTTCAATTCCTATTGCTCATTTCTTGCTTTCCTTGATTAATCTAGCTGCAGAAAAAAATTAAGAAAATTATAAAAATTTCCTTTCCGCAAACTTTACACTTCAATGATATTTTTGATTATATACTGCCAACCAGATTTACTTACTTACTTACTTACTTAAATGATATCTCTTTCTTCTTGCATAAATTTTGGTAATTAAGAGTATATTTTAGCAAACTTTTCATATGAATGCTAAGTAGAAGATTACTACAAATAGATATATTACTTAGTTATTTATGCCTTTCTTGAAAATATGGATACTGATCTTGCCACTATATTTGTTTATTACAGTTTTAATAAACATAAAAAATTTGCAAAAATTAAATATACAATTAAAGTATGGTTATTTATATATACTAAGAATACAAAGACCATGCTTTCTGTTGGGAATTTTAAAGATGATTTTGAAAATTTCTATTATTCTCTCTTTAAATTTCTATTCATAATACATGTAGGAAAAAGGAAATTTGGTTTTCTTATTAATATTAATATACAGTGGATTAGTAAAATATGAAAAGCCTTATAAAGAAGAGGAAATAAACAAATTCGATTACCAATCAACATTAGTGTGCTCAATTTCTATCTTTTTAGCAGTATTTGCTACTGATAATACATTTGAATACTAGAAATAAATTTCATATATATTTATCATTTTAATTAATAATTCTGTCTTTATTTATATAAATAATCAAGAAAATATTTATCTCATCCTTTTAGAGGCACATTAAAATTTTATAAAACTGCTTTTAATTAATCTTAATTAAACTAAAGCTAAATAAAAATGATGTTAAATTGCCAAAAAATTAAATAGCATAAAAACTAAAAAGCAAATTCAAAAATTCAGTTAAAAATTATTTCTCTAAAAGCTATGAAGAAAAATAAAAATATATGGCTATTTTTAATTAAAAATAACTTTATTTGTAAAATTTTTTTCATAATACAAAATTAAATAAATAACTTACTATTTTAAAATAAATATATTTAAAAAGAGAGTAACTAAGACAAACTTGTTTTAGAAGAAATTTTGATCTCATCAAGTTCACAAAGAGTATCTTCCTTCACCTACCACACAGCATTTAATTAAATCTATGGAAAGTGTCTCAGATGAAAAATCAAGAATTCCTTACTAGCAAATAAGTAATTTAATTTAATTTAAACTTAAAATAATTTAAATATTAATAAATTAATTAAATTTTCTTATTTATTAATTTAATTAGCCTAGCAAAATAAAGTGAAGACAAACATTTTCAGATTAAAAAAAATAAGACAAAAACAGATTGAGTTTTCCTCTAAAATTAAATTTAATTACTTTTAATAATTTAGTGATAAATAGTAAACTTCAATTATTAATTCGTAAATCAAAGAATCTGAATCATAATCACCTCAGTTAAGAGCGTTTTCATGTAATAAATCGAAATAAATACAATAAAAGCATTTTTTTTTTTTAACAGAAAAATTAGATTATGAAAAGTAAATTGGGTCAGAAATTTAAATTGTTTCTTAAGTAAAAATAAATAATTTTTATTAAAAATAATTATTTTTTAATTAATAACTAATTAGGATTTCTAAAAGAATTGATACTTGCAAGGATGTTGATAGGCTAAAAATTATTATTTATTTTAAAATTTATTGATTTTAACAAACAAATCAGTTCTTTTGTATATAAATTGTAAGGAATTTAATTTTATATTACTCAAAATAAAGAACTACTTTTCTATTTTTAAAAATGTTAGATGTATCAATTATTCCGAAATTAACTGGAATTTAAGGTAAATAAATAATATTTAATGCAATTTACTATTTTAGTTATTTATTTTCAATACATAAAACAAATAATTTATAAATTGTGTAAAAAACAAAATAATTCAATTTATTTAAAATCTAATTTTAAGTTTTTATGCAATCTATAATTGAATCATGATAGTTAAGCTACAAATATTTGATTAATCATAATAATATTTAACTCAAAACTAACTTGTGTAATTTAAGAACATGATACAATACCTTATTATCTAAATTATCGCTTATATTATTGCCACTTTTAAGTAAGGTTAAAATTTTTTAAGATTTTTAAAATATAAAAAATAATAAGAAATTGAAAAATAATCTAAATAAGTGTAATTTAAATATTAATTTTAAAATTAAAATCAAATAAATTAATATAAAATTAATTAAAATATGGCGTTTTATTTCTCTTAGATCAAGCAAATAAGTATTTAACTTGTTTTTTTATATCTCTTAATAAATTACTAAAGATAATAAAATAGTCTTACTTAAGAAAGAAATTCAAAATCAATAGATTATTTCCAAAAGCTGATAAAGCAGAGCACAATGCTAAGGCACCTTCATCCCCAATTTCGTTACTTCTTTAAAATATCAAAAACAAATTTATTTACAAAAAAGATTAAAAAAAAAATGTTAAAAATAATAATAAAATGAAGATTTTAAGCTTATTTATTTATGTAAAACAAACAAAACAATAATAATTCTAATAAAAATATCAATTTAAATAAATGAAAAAGCATCTCAAAATATATTGGTATTTTTTAGTAACTCATATTGTAGATATATGTACAAAATTGATTATTTTTACTTCAAGTAGAGTTCAAAATTCGATAGATGAGTACAAGTTTTCAAGGATGAGCTTAAAGCTATTGCACCTTTATCTCCGATTTAATTATTACTTTTAATATTTTTAATTTATATAAAATAGTTTCAATATTTAATAGTTTAAAAATTATTTTGAAAAACTTATGAATGAAAATATTTGTATAAAAAGATAATGAATTCAATCAATTATAAAAGCAATTTAAATATTATTTGATAATTCTTGGTCAATAATTAAATTTAGTAATAAATAATTTTCTACCGAAGATAAAGCGTTAATATTGAAAGATATTAGCAAGATGCTAAACCAAAACCTAAAGCTTCTATGCCCTTTTCTCCAATTTAATTATTACTTTAGTATATTTTAATAAATTAATTAGCTGATATTATAGCTAGCTAGCTATTGTCGAACAATTACTTCTTGAGTAAAAATATATATTTTGTAGAATGATAAATATTATTCAATAAAATAAAAAAATATTTTGAAACCTATTTCAATGGCTTTTTTATTATTTTTAAATTTTCTTTTATTTTCATACTCGAGAAATAACTATTCAAAAATAGCAATAGTTAATTTTATTTAAAAAAACTTATTTTAGTTAAGCTGATATGAAAAGTAAAAATTAAATTAAGGAAATGATGTGTATCAAAAAAAGAAATGAATAATGAAGAAAAATATTTTTCAAAAATTTATTAATTATTAATGCAATCTTATTTTTACAGAAGATAAAGCTTTAGAGTTGTGATATGTTTTAAGTTTGTTAATCCAGAACCTAAAGCTGATGCACCTGTATCACAGATAAAATTATCACTTTTACAATATTAAATATAATAACATAGATGGATGAAAATTGGTTTTTAAAATCTAAAATCAAAAAGTTATTTTTAAAATAAGAAAATATTGTTTAAAAAAGAACTCAAATAAAAAATAAAGTATTTTTAAAAAAGAATTATTTTTCATCTTATTTAATATTATTTCTTTTTTACCGAAGATATAGTGTTAAATTCTATAACTTTACACAAGCTACTAAAGCAAGGCCTAAAGCTCTAGTACCTTCGTCACCAATTTTATTATCGCTTAAAAATTATTATATTTTTATTATAGAAAAATTTAATAAATTCTTAATCGTAAATTGAAACAAAAAAATTAATTAATTAATTAACGTAAGATCAATTGTCAAATTAGTGAGGTTAATGCATTTTTATAAGGAAGTGCTTAAAATTGAGGCTCCCTTAATGTCAATTTGTTCTGACCTTTAAAAATATTTTTAAAAATATTGAATATTTATTATATTTAAAAAAATAATAAGAAATAAACAAAAATAAGTTTTTATCCTTTATTTAAAAATAATAGCTGAAATAATAATTATTATTAGAGCATATATTTTAACTAATATTACGATAAGTCAATTTTTAGATTTTGGTGACTTGACAAAGTAGACTTAGTGAACTTTTTTACAATTATTATCAATTATTATGAGATTTGAGAATTAATAAAAATTACATCTTCTATATTTTCAAAATATTTTATACTTTATATCATTTTACTTTTTTTTTGGCACAAATTAATAAAACTTAATTAAGAAATTACAAAAGAATATAAGTTATGGTTTGTTATTACATATTTTAAAAAAATAATTAATAATTTAAAAAATTGTTTTTAAAATTAATACTTGAAAATCTGTTAAAAATACATACTTTTTTAGTTTTTTAGAGAAATTAGCTAAATTAAAAAGTAAATAATAATAAGCAATATCAATTTGATTAAATTATTAAATTATAGTATTGACATGATATTTCATTTTGGTTAAGTTATTTTATAATAAAATCAATTTCTGTTTATAAATAAAAATAAAGATGAGTTAACCTGAATATCATAATTTAAATTAAATTTTTATAGCAAGGTTGGTGATACCTTCATTAATTTAGTTAATGTATAATTTTTAAATTTCACAAGATAATAAATCCTCAATATCCATTTTGTATCTTTAGATGCATCTGAAAAAATAATTAAAAATCAATAAAAAAGTTTGATTTTAAAAATTAATAAAAAAGAGTATTTAAAAATAACGTATAAATTCTAAAATAAAAATAAAACATTTAAACAATAATTTCATTAATTATTTATTTTTAAAAATAAATTTATTTTTTTTTTGATATGTTAAAAAAATAGTATTTATTTTTCATTTGTTTAGAAAAATAGATTTTTTTATTTAATTCAATAGAATACTTTCATAATTCTTCTAATATCACTCTATTTTCTATTCTTAACTAATTCCAAAAATAATTTATCAGGTATAACTAATTTTTAAGTAGATTAAGTTTTGTGTCTAGGCTGGTTAAATCTTCAATAATTTTAAAAACTTAAAAATAAGAATTTAAAGAATAAATTTGATTTTATTAATTAAATTTTAATTATTTTGATATTTTTTTGAATTAGTGGCGGTATTCTGCTGAGTTATTTGAGTATTGTATCAGATGGTTCTAATCTATAAATATTTCATCTTAGTTGTTATAAATCTCTTCAAAATTAAAAAAATTTATTTGAGTTCCTTGTAGGAAGTTTTGATTAGATTTAAATATGGAGTTGAAATGTGTTACAAATTATATTTGTACCTTATCAAAAATTAATTAAAAATTATTAAGTTATTTTTTTGATTTGTTTATTTTTTATTTAATTCTTTATATCTCTTGAATTAATATAACACACTCAGTCTTTAAACTCTCTTTATTTTGGTTTTCTTTTGATATTTTTTTTTACTTTTCTTGGTATTATTATTTTTAATTTTATAAATACATTCCAGTATTCTAATCAATTATATAAGCATTCTTTATCTGTTCCTATAAAGATACTTTCTAATATATTACTTAATTTTTTTATTCTTCATTTTCTTCAAAACCCTCATTATCTTTTAAATAATTGTTACATCTATTACTCTCATTCAATATTATTATTTTTTAATTTGAAATTCTTTGAATTTTAATTGGAATTGGATATCTATTTAAATTAGGAAGATATATTTTCTGTAAAGATTTAAATTGTTATATCACATCTGAAATTTTCATTCTTTTATTTGGATGGTGTTCGCAAAGAAGCTATAGCATCTGATCTATGCATTAAAATTCTTGTTGGCCTTCGATCATAACAGGGGTATCTATGCTAGCAGGTCCATCTTGTAAGATCTTAATGAATTTTGATAATGGTGTACCTAGACAAGAATAAAAAATCAAACCTAATGAGAAGCAATCACTCTTCTTGCTTTGTAGAACTAAGCTTGGGTTTTCCTTCTTTAATTATTGTATTAAATTTTAGCATAATTCATCTTATAATTCTGGTGCTCTAAAAAGCTAAGCTCCTTAAACTGAGTATTTAACTCTACTACTCCCTTGCTCAACATACGCTGCTAAACCAAAATCAGCTATTTTTGCTACGTTCATCTAGTCAATTAGAATATTATCTTGCTTTAGGTCTCTTAATACTAATCCTTAATCATGCACATATTGTATTCCTTCGCTGATCTCCTATCCATATTTAATAAAGCTCTCTATTGACAGTAATTCGTAACTTTTCATAAATTGATTTAGATCGCCTTTGCATTCTTCCATTTGGATTATGAAGTAGTTTTATGTTTCATAATACTTGTAGAACTTTACTACATTTGGGTGATCCATTTAACTCATAAGGTTTGCTTCTTTCAATGCCTTACCTCTTATATCCTAGTTTATTTACCCATGCTTCGTTCTAATGAAAATTAGCTTAAAAGCGAATCTATTTTAGTTTTGATCTTCTCCAATGATTGTAGTTCCAAATGATCCTCTCCCTGCAAATCTTATTGATTTGTAGCCTATTTCTTACAAAGCTGCATCCATAAAAGTGAAATCATCTTTTTATTCTTAGTTCTCCAGATTTTCTAGATATTCCTTGAAGCTAAGTTGCTACTTATTATTTTAAAGAATTTAAATATTGTATTTAGCAAGATAATTCTCATGATCCCTTATAGAGTTTTAGTCATATACTTACAAACTTTCAAAACTCATTTATTTTTTAAATCTTATCTATCTAATGTATCTATCTTTCTATTTATTGATTAATCTAACAAAAAATCTTTCTATTTTAATTGATTTATTAATCAGTTTTTTAAATACTTATTAGAATATTAATTTCCAAAATTATCTATAACAAATATAATGAAAAAAGATTAGGGGTAACACAAAAAGCCACTTTTTAAAAAGCACTATGAGATATTGAATAAACTTATTAAAATAAATAAAAAATTTAAATATTAAAAATTGAGACAAACGTTAATTAATTTTATTAAAGTTCATTCAATATTTTTTCATTTAGTTTTAACAAAAATTTATTTTCTCACAGGATTAATTAATATAGTGGGATGGTATCTCAAAGGATCAAATAAAAAAAACCTTTAAAATTTCCATAATTAATTTGAATTATTTATATGAATTAAAATTTTACAGATAAATGAAAATATATGTATGGATAATTGAAGGTATGTATAATAAAAATTAATTTAAGAAAAGTGCAAATATGCTCACCAGACAAATGTGACTGATGTTATATTCTCTGCCTTTAATGAAATTTTGTTTTTCAAACATATTTTTTTCTATAAGATTAAGGAAATAATAATCAAATATCATTTAAAAAGTTTGATTTTAAAGAAAATAATATTAAAAAAAATCATGTAAAAATTCTAAAATAAAATTAAAACATATAAAATGTTATTTAATCAATTAGTTTTTTTATTTATTTACTTATCTGTTTTTTAAAATTAAATAATTTTTTATTTTTAAAACTTCAAAATAAGATTGCAAAGAATTTTATTGATTTTTTATTTTAAACTTTAATTATTTTGATATTTTTTAGAGTTATTGGAGGAACTCTCGTCAGTTATTTGAGTTTTATATCAGTTCTTTCTCATCTTAATCAGAATATTTTTAATTGTTTAATTAGTTTTGTTTTCATAATTTTTTTTATTATGCCTGGCATTTTTATATTTATTTTTATATGGTCATTTTTAGTATTTTAATCAATTATTTAAGCATCCTCTGTCTGCTCCAATAAGGATACTTTCTAATATAGTTCTTAGTTTTTTTCTTCTTGTATACCATAATTATCTTTAAGCTTACTGTTACAGCTCTTACTCTCAGTCAATGTTAGTATTTTTTAATTTGAAATTGTTTGAAATTTAATTGGAGCTGGATATCTATTTAAATTAGGAAGATATTGTTCCTCTAGAAATTTAAATTGTTATATCACATCTGAAAGTTTCATTCTTTTATTTGGATGGTGTTCACATAGAAGCTATAGCATCTTATTTATGCATTCAAATTCTTGTTGGCCTTCGATCATAACAGGGGTATCTATGCTAGCAGGTCCATCTTGTAAGATCTTAATGAATTTTGATAATGGTGTACCTAGACAAGAATAAAAAATCAAACCTAATGAGAAGCAATCACTCTTCTTGCTTTGTAGAACTAAGCTTGGGTTTTCCTTCTTTAATTATTGTATTAAATTTTAGCATAATTCATCTTATAATTCTGGTGCTCTAAAAAGCTAAGCTCCTTAAACTGAGTATTTAATTTTACTAGTCCCTTGCATAACATATGCTGCTAAACCAAAATCAGCTATTTTTGCTACATTCATCTTGTCAATAAGAATATTATCTAACTTTAGGTCTCTTAATACTAATCCTTAATCATGCACATATTGTATTCCTTAACTGATCTCCTGTCCATATTTAATAAAGCTCTCTATTGACAGTAATTCATAACTTTTCATAAATTGATTAAGATCACCCTTGCATTCTTCCATTTGGATTATGATGTAGTTTTATGTTTCGTAATAATTGTAGAATTTTACAACATTTGGGTGATCCATTTTGCTCATAACATTAGCTTCTTTCAATGCCTTACCTCTTATATCCTAGTTTATTTACCCATGCTTCGTTCTAATGAAAATTAGCTTAAAAGCGAATCTATTCTAGTTTTGATCTTCTCCAATGATTGTAGTTCCAAACGATCCTCTCCCTGCAAATCGAATTGATTTGTAGCCTATTTCTTACAAAGCTGCATCCATATAAGTGAAATCATCTTTTTATTCTTAGTCTTACATATTTTCTAGATATTCCTTAAAGCTCAGTTGCTATTAATTATTTTGATAAATTTAAATATTGTATTTAGCAAGATAACTCTCATAATCCCTTAGAAAGTTTTAATCATATACTTGCAAGCTTTCAAATCTCATTTATTTTTTTAATCTTATTTATCGATTTATTTATTTATTTATTTTTAAAAAGCAATCTTTTTCAATGTTATTTTTATTAAATGGTTTTTTAAATATTTATGAGAATATTAACGAATTAGAATAAAATAAAAATTCTAATATTAAAAATTGAAAAAAAATGATCTATTTATTTAACTAAAAAGCAATATTTTTTAATGCCATTTTTATTAAAAAGGTTTTTTAAATACTTATTAGAATATTAAGGATTTAGAATAAAATAAAAATTATACAAAAATTATCTATTTATTGATTTATTTATCTAAAAAGCAATCTTTTTTTCATGTTATTTTGTGAAATGGTTTTTTAAATGCTTATTAGAATATTAAAGAATTAGAATAAAATAAAAATTCTAATATTAAAATTAATACAAAAATTATCTATTTATTTAATGTTCTAACTAAACACAATCTTTTTTAATGTTATTTTTATTAAATGATTTTTAAATACTTATTAGAATATTAATGAATTAGAATAAAATAAAAATTCTAATATTATAAATTGAGATAAAATTTGATTAATTTTATTCAAGTTCATTTAATATGTTTTTGTTTTGTAAAAAAAAAATTATTTTTTGATAATATTATTTTCTGAATTTTTTAATTTATGAATGTAAATTAGAGAGAATATACAACTATTTTTGATATTATATGTAGAATATATATTTATTAATATTAATTTTAATTTTTTGTTTTGATATTTTAAGTTCTTTAGGATAATAAAGTTATTTATTAATTTTAATATATAACAATTAAAATTATTTCAATAAAGTTTATTGTGCTTAAAAATAACTTTGTCTTCCTTTTCCTTGACGGTTATATACTCAGAGTTCTAGATATTACTATTTGTCGTCGCATTTAATTTACTTTAAGAAGTAAGATTGTTAATTAAATCAGATATTTAAGTTTCTATCTATGGTTTGCTATTATCCACCTCTTTTCTGTATCTATGAAATTTTCTGTGCATATTATTTATTTCTAGCTAATTTTATTTTTATTTACTGATATTTTATTTAAGTTGTTTATGATATCCATTAAACTGATTCACAAAAGAGTTATTACTTTAATTTCCATTGGTATTTCCTTTTTCGTTTAAATTTCCTTCAAAAGATTGGTTGAGAACCTAATAAAATTAGTTTGTATTTCCAAAGCTCCTGTATGTTTAATCTCTATTAGTATTTAGATTTGTACTTTAAGCATCTGAAAAACCTAATTAATATCCAGAATAAGCAGTTGAAGAATGACTATTGCTGCGATTCTTCTTATATTAAATAGCACTCTGATTTTAATTAATTTAAGGATGATAATAACTTATATTAGTTCTGTGCTTAATCTGATATAATCTATTGAGATTGCTAATTTATTAAAGAAAAATATAATAAAATTTTTCTTGTTAAAAAGAAATAAAATATTTTTTCATAAATTTGATTCAATAAAATTGAAACTAAAAATCAAATTAAAATTCAACTAAATAAGGTTTAGCTAATAAATTAAACATTTTTAAGTTATTTTTTGGTAAAAATGTATATTAATAATTAAGGAATATCAATAAAATTTAAAAGAATGTATTTTACAATTATTATCCATCTTCAATAGATTTTTTGAGAGTGCTTTCCTGTGATTAGGGTGGCAGAAGATTAGTTTGATTCATGTTATTTTCATCTTACTAACTAGTTTTTATTAAATCAAAATAGTCATAGTGAGAAACTTCAGCTTTTATATTAGTTTCAGTGCCTGGTTATTATGTTGTGTTGTTTTATTATTAAGAATCTAAATTTTCATTAATTTATATTTCTTCATTTTTTGATGCTTCATTTACATTAAATTTACATTTCTAATTTTTGTTATTTTTAAGATTAAAATATGGTTTTTTAAAAGAATTTTACTGGATTATTGCAGCATTTTTGATCAAAAATCATTGTTTTAATAATCTCTAAAAATTTCAGACTTGAGAAAAATTTAGAAATAACTTCGATTCTATCAAATTTAGTAAATTTTTAAACTTCAATTTAATCTAAATTCGGATTGAATGTGTTAAGCATTTTATTTCTCTTCTAAATTTCATTTTGAACTTCACTCACAGCTGTATTTTAAATTAAAAATGTTTTCATTTATTTATTTATTTATTTAAAACAAGATAAAATTTAATATGAAAATTAAAGCAAATTTTGTTATTTAATTTGGTTAAAAAAATAGAAAAATTGTATTAAAAAGTAAAGAAGATTTAATATAAATTAAATAGAATATTTATAAAATTACATTTAATAAATAATTGCTTGATTTGATTTTCTGTTGTGTTAGGAGTGCTGCTTGTCTTAATCTGCATGCTAAGAGACTTGTTAAGCATTTTTTAGTTATTAATTTATTCCTTGAGTTATTCAATTAATTGATCCCTAGGGTTAATCTTTTCAATAAGTAGTCTTTTTTTTAATGGTGTTAATATTTAATCTGAATTCTGCAACAATAAAACTTACTGATCAATTACATTCGCAGCTTGGTGGACATTCTCTTGCAAAAAAATAACTTTTCTAGCAGCAATTAAAGAGTCTCTGTACTTAAATTATCGACTAGGTTTTGAGTTCCTTACCCCATCAATATTATCAAGTGTGTTGTGTGCTGAATCTTGCTACAAATTTGATGTATCCTTATTAATTTAATAAAATTGAAAATAAATTTTAACCAATAATTTTACCAATTCGTTTTATCTGTTATTAATTTTTTAAATGAACGAGTGCTTAGTGGAATTTTGATTTTCATAATTATTTTGTTCTTTTATGACATTGAGCTTTTGTTGTGTCCTTAAATGAGCCTATCTGGACCATAAATTTTCTTGTTCTAACTCATTGTATAAATGCTTAAGTTTGGAAACCTCTTCTTTAAGTATTTTGTTTTCTTCGTTTAAAGAGTAGCTATTTTCCCTATAAAATCTGAGTTGCTTTTCTAATCCTATTTCATATATTAGAAGGGTTATTTTGTTTTCATTAAATAATTTCTGATTTTTTGCTGATCAAATAGTTTGTTTTCATAATGTAAAGGGGTAGGAGTTGTTAAATTTTGTTGGTGATTAAATTAATTTAATTTAATAACTTGCTTTGTTTATTTATCAAAAAAATTGGAAAAAAATTTAAAATATAATAAAGCAAGCACATACCCCTTAGAATTATACAAAAATCAATTTTATTTCTTCAATAGTAGAATTTCTTTATGTTCAGAAAACAAATTTAAAAATTAGCAAAAAAAAAAGAACAAAAATGTTCTAATTCATAAAATCTTGTTAATTTTATCTTATTAGGAAAATATCTTAACTAAATATTTACAAAAATACATTATTTAGTAAACTAAAATACTAAAAAAGATTGTTTTCTCTTTTTGTATTTTTGCAGTAATTTCTCAATAGATTGATTTTTATAATAAAATGTTTTAAATATCTTTTGTAAACTAAGATTTGAATTAAAGGGATTTATTTTATTTTATTTTATTTAGGACTATTTTGCATTTTTAAAGTATTTTACTATTTACAAATATGATTTAATTTAATAACTAATTAAAATAATTTTAAATTAGAAAATATTTTCATAAAAATATTTTGGATTATTTTAGCAAAATAATTAATTACCTATAACTTTTATATCTAATTCTACTTAAAGGTTGAAATCATTAAGTTTTTATTAACATTCTTATAATTCTTTGGTCATTTTATCTAAGGTAATTTGAAATGATTTGAGTAGTTCGTATTCTTTTTTATTAAGTGTTTCAACCACTTTTTCATCAAATTATTACATTAACATTTCAAGGTCCTCCCTTAATTTGATAAATATATCTTGCTGCTTCTTGTTGAAAACTTGAGAAATCTTTTTGGTGAAACTTTAAATGTGCCTCACTTGATTAATTGCTGTATAAAATATTTGACTTTTATCATCTTTCTTCATGTTTTCATTCTCAGGAAATTCATCTTCAAGCCTCTCTAAAAGGGACATTTTCGAATTAATTAAATTGCTTTGCGTGTTAACTGCCTGCTATTGCAACTGGCTCTGCTTTTGCTGATAGATCTGATTTTGATTCTAAGACAATTCTAACAACCTCTAAGTATCATTTAATTAGATTACTGATTTATTTTAATCTGTGCTTTTTGTTCTTTAAGTTTTGTAATTTAAATTAGACTAAGAGTGATCTAAGTTCTATGAACTCAATTTATCAGCCCTGCTACTAGAATTTTCTTATTAATTCTTTTACTGCAGTGCTTACTCCGTTAAGTAATTATCCCTCATTTTTCTTATTTGATTTAGTGTTTAATAAATCACAACAACCAACAATTTAATAAATAAATATATAAAAGTTTAATTATCCACTATTAAAATCTAAATAATTAAATTTTTCTTATTTAATTAGCACTACTAATTATGTTTGTTATCAGATTTTTAACTTAAATTGTGGAGTTAAAAATGCAATCAAACAACATAGCTGTTAACATAATAAGATTTGCCTAAAATTAATATTTTTTGATTACTTTATTTACAATTTATAAATACTTATGTTCAAAATATTATTCAAGTATTTCTGTAGCAACTAAATTATAATTTGGAATAAAAAAATCTATTAGAAATCTCTTTATCTCTATCAAAAAAATATAAATTGTTTATTTTAACAACAAAAAAATTAAAAAATGTTCATTTATAAAAGCATGATTAATTTTTTCATTTTTAGAAAAATTTGTTTTAAATAAAACAATTTTCAATAATTCCAAAAAAATAGTTAATAATCTTTGATACATTTAAAAGATTAAACATGAAAAAAATTAATTGCACTTTTATGAGCTTAAGATTGGACAGAATATAAGCCTAAAAATTACATTTATGAAATTAATGTTTAATTATACATTTATTTATACTGGTTAATTTATTATTATTGATTTTGTAGTTTTTGAAGTAATTAAAATTAGATCTAAATATCTATCATCTTAGAGCATTTAGATTTAAAATAAGCTGCATTATGTTGTATTAAAATTAAAATCCATAAAAGAATATAAAAATTTGATAAAAATCACAGCTTAATGCATTTTCTTTGAATATTTATACACTTTTTCAAGGTTTTTAAATTTTTAAAATGTAATTTAAATTAATCAAATCAAAAGCGAAACAATTAATCAATTATTTTTTATAAATTTGCTTGGTTTTTATTATTTTGGGAGTGAATACAAATACAATGCAATAATAAAAAGAGATAAATAATAAGAAGGAGTTATGGGGGAGGGAAAGAGAAGTTATTTAATTAGGAGAATGAATTCAAATGCATAGCAAACTAAGATGTATTCAGAAGAAAGAAAGATATAGTCTAAGCTTTTATTAAATAGGCAAATAAATAAATAGCTAATTCAATTAATGAAAAAATTAGGGATATATAGAATTAAATGGGTTAGTTAGTTAGATAGATAAATAGATATATGGATAGATAGGTAGTTTGTGATCTTAGTCATGGAGAGATGCTTAAAGAAAAAAAATTAATTAGAGAGGAAGTAATTATTAGAATTTAATAAGGAAAAATAGGTGGATTTTTTTGATAAATAAATAAATTTAAAAAGAAGGGGTAAGGGCAAGAAAGAAAAGAAAGAAAAAAGAAAGAAAGAAAAAATTTTTGAATCAAGATAAAAAATTCAATAAAAAAGGTTTAGACAATAGAAAAAGTATATAATATCATCTAATAGTAGGTAAATTTTATTCATTTTTGCACAACAAAAATTAAATATTTTTTTTGGGCGTAGTCTCTGCGCCAATTACAAGCAAACAAACAATCAAACTATTAAACAAACAAACAAACTCCTTTCTAACTAAATAGGAATCCAACCAAACTAAAACTAAAATACAAAGCAAAGATAGATCACTACTAATTTAGCAGCCACTTCTTTCAATCAACTTCCCACTTATTTAAGTGAAATTTTTATATAAAATTTTTATTTCTCATCCTGATGAAAGGCTAGAATAAAATATCTCCTAACGCTTAAACTGGAGTTGCATTAGGGGGAAGATTGAATAATTTTCCTACCGCTTAGAAGAATAACTAAAATGCGACCACCAGCATGACATCAAATAATTATGCGAATATAAACTTACCGCCAAATATAAGCTTAAACTTACCTTCAAATACTCTGAATGGGTAAATAAACAGCAATAACTAACAAATAGCGACAAATTAGCATATTTAGAATTAGTAGCAGTAGTAGTAATTATAATAATAGCAGTAAAATTAGCAGCAGTAATCAAGTAAAAATTAGGTTATTCAACAACAACAAAACGCTTAGCAGAACATTCAACCTTCCTATCAACCTTAGCAGCAACAGTCTTAGAATCAAAACAGGCAATATGCTCAATTCACACCATCACTATCAAATGCTTAAAACTTAATTATTTCTAATGGTGAAGACGATGGAGTTGACCGCAACAACATCAATTATATGACGCCATACAATCAATTTCTCTTGGAAAGCTTAAATAATAACAATATTGGGTTTGGATAAAACAACATTTAATACTCAGTAAATCTTCATTCCTTTACATTAAATCCTTAATAACAACAGTAGCAAGCATAATAAAGCTAGTAAAATCAATAGAACCCGTCTCAGTAGCCTTATAAATAGAATCTATAATAAAATCAATAGCAGTAGGCATACAATATACACTCTAATCAAGGTTAGACCTAGCTAAACTCGCAAGGTTAATAATAACAATAGAATTAGTAAAATTTACAGCACGACCAGTAAATAAAAATACAATAAAATACTCTTTTAACTGGAAATCCCAATATGCAAAGTTTGAACAACATCACTACAGCCGCCTAATAAATGGTTTAAAATTAAAATACAGCTTACAACACTTCTCATCCTCAGCAAAATTCTTAGATTTAGCAATAAAACTAACAAAATTAGTAGTTGAGCTAAAACCAGTAAATTTAATAGCAACATCATAATAATACACATCATCTCAATAATTAATAATCTACCTCTACTACGACAACCACTATTGAGCATTAGCAAAATTTGAATACAAAACAACAAGCTGGAAGGAACATTTAAAGCCAAATTAACTCAACGAACAACACAAATATCACCAACAATAACAACAATATTTTAAATTTGAATACAGCAAACAGCATAAATAATAGCAATAGCTCTAATGTGAATAAAAATGTAATAAATACAAACAGCATTAATATAAACTCACTTTCAACAAATAATTTAAATAATTTAACTTCTAACATTTAAAATAACACAATTATTCAAAATTAAAAATCTAAAAACTCAAAATAAAACTAGGTGAACAACAACACTAACGCTGCTATTTTGAGTCACTTAAGCAATTAGACTGTACAAGATGCATTATAACAGTAAACAAAAAATAACAGCTAAACTCAAAACATAATAAAAAACTAAACGAACAACTTAATTAATCAAACAAACAACATGATAAATCAAGCTGCTTCTAATTAAAATAGCTTGAATGCTCAGAATTTCGTGATGTAATAATAACCTCAATCAGCTACAATAAATGATAATGTGCAAAAACTATTTGATGAAGATAAAATTTTCTAACCCTAATAATTAAATTCCGTCAATTTATAAAAACAGTTCCAAAATATCCAGCAAATGCAAGACACAAAAAACATTTAAGGGAAAAAAAATTAAAATGAATTTTTAAATTAACTGAATGTGAACCAAGGAAATCAACACTAAGCTTAAAATCACAATTAAAATCTCATAAACACTTTCTAAAACTAGCAATATTACTCTTCATTAGATTAATAAACAGTAATGCCAACCTAAATTGCTCCAATCAACTCTATAGCTACTCCCACAAACGCATCTCTTTCAGCTATGGTGACAGCAAGTGCTTCTACTGCTATTACCAATGCAGCAGCAGTTACAACAGCTAATACAAACAAAGCTGCGAGCAGCACGACAGGAAGAAAGAAAAAAAATTAAAATAATGTTAATAACAACATTTAAATTAGCAATTTGAATAACTAAACACAAAATATATTGTAAGCACCAGTAGCTTAGACGACGGTCTCAAACACAATAACACCAAAGAATGCATCGAAGAGGAAACAAAAGAATTAAGCTTCTTAACTAAATTTAAATGCTAATGTAAATGAAAGTGCAATAGCAACAAGCACTGCAACTTTAAATAATAACAATGTAAATAATCTTTTAATAAATTAAACAGCTATAAATAATCTTGGTGGATTTGAAACAACTAATTTTCCAGAAATTTCAAATATGCATCTCGGTGGAATTGGCCATTTAGAATTTGATAATAATTTTAATCTAAACCCATTATACGATATAAATTTAATGAATATTTGCAATACAAATTACGAAGAAAATAATGATAATTATATTCTCAACAACCATAACAATTTAATAAGCCAAAACAATAACAAAATTCAGCTGATAAAGGGTTAAAATAATCTTGATTTTGAAAATAATTTGCATCTTAACAATAACAACTAAAATGTTGCCATTCAAGGTTTAGCTTAGTAAAACGATTACACAAACTAGAAAGATTTAAATCAAAATAATAATTTATAAATCCACACAAATACACTTGTTGATTAAAGCTAGTTGCAATCAATTATTCCTCCAGTAATTTAACAGACTAAGTAAAAAGCAGTCAAATCTAAAAAAGCTCAGCAGAAGTTACAACAACAAAATGATTAAATAGACAACAGTTAAACCCAAACTAATTAGCTGCCATCTATAAAAAACCAAGAGATAAAACAAGTTAATCAAATTATATAGCAAAATCAGAATATGTAAATGACATAATAAATTGTTCCAAACTAGTAATAGCAATAATAATAACAACAACAGCAACAGCAATAGAATTAAACTCAAAACGAAAGCCAATAAACTGTGGAGTAGAACAAAGAAATGAAGCAAAAAAAGAAAACTAAATCTTAAAAAAATGCAAACGGGCAGCCCTAAGAAAAGAACTAAACTATCACAATTGCTCTCATGAATTACATGGAGAATAAAAGGATAGAAATCATCTCTGAAGAAGAAGTAAAAAAATTTATTGACGAAAATATAGACAAATGCAAAAGACCAGATGGCACCAAGTATAAAGGAGATAAAAATAAAATTATGAAAGGTAGTCTAACCTCAAACGGAGTTTTTTCCAAAATGGAAGGACAGACAAACTTTTATTAACTTAATGTAAATTTCTATTTACCAATTAATACATCTTTCTACAAAAATTACATTATTCTATTAGCAATTATTTTAAGCTTAAATAAACAAATAAATTAACTAATTAATTATTAAAAATGATTGAAATTGGAGATATTTTAAAAATAATCATTTAATCTTATAATTTATTTAAGATTTTTTTAATGAATTTTTATTAATGAAATTTATTAAATATTTTATTTCATAATTTTACTTACATTAAAACACAAAATAAATTATTTCTAATTAGAAAATATTACAAAAAAATAAAATTATCAAATAGATATTTTCAAAATAATTTTAAATTTATTAATTAAATTTGTTAAAATTGATGAAAAATCGCATAATTAATAATTTACAAATGTCAATTTTAAAAATATTTAAAAAACATTTCAATTAAATTATTTTTTTTAAATATTAAATTTTTTAATTCAAGTTAAATACCAATATTTAATTTCATTAGTTTTTTTCAAATAATGATTATTATATGCAAACACATCCATTGATAATATATAAAAACTGCTTAAAATAAATACTTTGTTTATAAAAAGATTTATTTATTTTTTTACTTAAGTTTAATTAATTAATTAATTTATAATATTTTAATAGAAAAAAGAAGGAGAAGCTTTTAGATAGAGAACTGAAAAGAGAGTTGAAAATTTGAGTTAAAAGAAAAAAAATATAAAGAAGAAGAACTAAGATCCAAATAAGATTTAGAATGAAAAGAAATAAAAGAATAAAAAGAATAAAGATGGTGATGGCAATTAGCACAATGGGTCAGAAAATAACTAGTAAGATAACATGGGTTAATATAACCAATTTATGCCCAATGATTAAGATAATGACAATAATCTTCATCAAAATGATTAAGATTTTAATTATAATAACTAAGAAGAAAACATTAAAATAAGTAAAAGCAGCATAATAGATATCAACAACAATTCGAAAAATAATAATGGCTTCGATTTAAATTTGAGAAATGGATAGAATTTAGTTGGCGATTATGATTTTGGTTATAACAACAATTTAGGCTAATTCTTACCTGAATTTAACAGGAAGAGAAAAATAACTGAGTTAGATAAAGATAACCTAGATTAGCATATTGATGATAAAAATGATATTGGTAACTTAGCAAATGCTGGAAAGAGAAACAAACAAGCTAAGGTAAGAGAGAAATCAAGAATTAATGACTAGGCTGACATCAAAAATTTGAATTCACTCTAGCAATTTTAAGCCTCGCCAAAGCATTGGTCTTTAAGTTAAAATAATTAGCAGCTTGTTAACTAAACTTGTGAAATATCACTTCATAATCAATAGTAATACTCTGATTTTTGGAGTAAAATCTAGTTTGATAAACCTATAAAACCATTTATTGAAATTATTAATTGCTTGAAAGAAACCTACAAAAAACTTGACATCAAAGACCCAATGGAAGTGTTTGAAGTAAATAAAAAAATATTTAAAAATAATTTATAAAGCTAATTCAATTTTAAAATGTAGAAACTCCTAAACAACCAAGCAGATCAACAAGTATACGAGCATATGAGTTAGAAAAACTAAATTAAAGAAGGATTTATGGCTTTTTATGAACTTTTTGAACCCATCATCAGTAAATATTTTATTAATATCTAACTAAACTAAATAAATTATAATTGTATTTAAAAAAGATATCAACTTATAAAATACTGCCACTAAAAAGAAATAATCAAAACCTAGAGCACCTAAAAAGGAAAAAAATGTAATTTAAAATAATCAAGAAAGCAAAATAGAAAATATGAATAACAAAACTAACAACAACAATATCAATAGTAATAATAGTAATAATAACAACAATAGAAATGTTAACAATATTAACAACCAATACTAAAACAACTAACAAGAATTTATAAATTTAAATTAAAACCATTTCACTGAAAATAAACCAAAAAAGAAATAAAAACTAAATTAGCAATAATTATGATTTCATATTTACATTTATTTACATTCAATTATTCTTATAATTAATTATTTACTATAAAATAAATAAATAAATAAATAAATAAATAAACAAAATATTTTATTTTAAATAACTATCTATATTCATAAATAGTTTTAGAAAATCTACTTAATATCTGTCTGTCTATCAATCAATTTATCTATTATTATATCTATCAAACTATAATTAAATTAATATTCTAATTAAAATAGTTTTATATTACTTAATATCAAAATATTCATATTTTTCGTTCAATAATTATCTTAGAAAAATAAATACTTAAATCTTTCAATTTTAATGCTAAATGTATATTTAATTATACTTTTTATGCATAATATTGTTTATGATAAAAGTTTTTATATTTAATTACAACAATTTATTAATTAATTTAAGTTAAAGTGATAAATAATAATTATTTCAACTATTTAAATAAACTTAATGAAAACATTTTACAAACAAAAAAAATATAAAGCATTTAATACTCATTAGTTAAGAGTCACTTCACTTAAAATAAGGGCAAAAAAAAGAATTTTTTAAGTAAATTTAATTTTTTAATTTTTACAAATAATTTATTTACTTACAAAAATATAAATGATATTTATAATAAAAAAACAATAATAAAATCTAATATAATTTAGGTAAAAAAAACTTTTTCAAAATATAAAAAAATTAAAAAAACCTTTAATATTCAACTATTAAAACATTTAATATTTATTCGTCCTTTTTTCTTTATTTGCTTATCAAAAGAACCATTTTTTAAAGACAACTAATCTTTTTGATTTAAGACACTTGCTTATTACTTTGAATTTTTATGAGTAATTCATTGAGCTAAAATTTTATAAAAATTAGTTTAAATTTTAAATAAATATCAAATATAATAAACTCTAAATTAAAATTTATTTTTTAAATAAATAAATAAAATAAAATAAGAGGAATAAAATAAATAAAAAATTAATCAAATAAATTCAAAGAGCTTTATTGCTTTAAATTAGTTTTAATAATTAAAAATATCACAATCCAAAACAAATAAACTGTTTTTACCCAATTCTAAGTGACAAATTTGAGAGATTAATGCAATTTGCTAAACCAGAACCTAAGCCTGATGCACCTTCATCACCGATTTAATTTCCACTTTTTAAATATTTAAGAAAAAATATATCATTAAATAGTTAATTAGAAGGAAAAAATGAAGAAAGAATATGAAATAATAAGATAGATTAATTAATTAATAATAAAAGCAAAAGTTGAAAATAAAATAATGAGTTAAATAAACAAAGAAAGAACAAAAAAAAAACAAGCACAATAAAAAGAAAAAGAAAAAAGAGCTTTATTGTTTTAAATTAGTTTTAATAATTAAAAATATCACAATCCAAAACAAATAAACTGTTTTTACCCAAGATCAAGTGTCAAATTTGAGAGATTAATGCAATTTGCTAAACCAGAACAAAAGCCTGATGCACCCATTGCACCAATTTAATTTTCACTTTTTAAATATTTAAGAAAAAATATACCATTAAATAGTTAATTCGAAGGAAATAATGAAGAAAGAATATGAAATATTAAGATAGATTAATTAATTAATAATAAAAGAAAAAGTTGAAAATAAAATGATGAGTTAAATAAACAAAGAAATAACAAAAAAAAAAGCAAGCATAATAAAAAGAAAAAGAAAAAAGAGCTTTATTTTATTGTTTTAAATTAGTTTTTATAATTAAAAATATCACAATCCAAAACAAATAAACTGTTTTTACCAAAGCTCAAGTGTCAAATTTGAGAGATTAATGCAATTTGCTAAACCAGAACCTAAGCCTGATGCACCTTCATCACCAATTTAATTTCTACTTTTTAAATATTTAAGAAAAAATATACCATTAAATAGTTAATTAGAAGGAAATAATGAAGAAAGAATATGAAATAATAAGATAGATTAATTAATAATAAAAGCAAAAGTTGAAAATAAAATGATGAGTTAAATAAACAAAGAAATAACAAAAAAAAAAGCAAGCACAATAAAAAGAAAAAGAAAAAAGAGCTTTATTGTTTTAAATTAGTTTTTATAATTAAAAATATCACAATCCAAAACAAATAAACTGTTTTTACCCAAGATAAAGTGTCAAATTTGAGAGATTAATGCAA